CAATCGCTTAGACCAGTGGTTCCCAAACCTGTCCTCACGGCACCCCAACACTGCACGTTTTCTTTATCTCCCTAATCAAACACACCTGATTCAACTCATCAGCTCATTAACCCATGTGATAATGAGCTGATGAGTTGAATCAGGTGTGTTTGATTAGGGAGATAAAGAAAACGTGCAGTGTTGGGGTGCCGTGAGGACAGGTTTGGGAACCACTGGCTTAGACGCCATTCTGCTCATAGACAGTGCTCCAGCATATCAACAATGACCGCGCCGCTCCGCGCGGACTATGATTGACAGCTCGCTCACGAGCGAGGGCGGGTCTGTGTTGAAACGCTGCTGTCAATCAACAATCGTGGGAGGGGCGTCCGACCGTGTGTCGTCACACGGTCGAACGGCTTGATTTGAGACAGGGGAAAACATTTTTTTTTTAAAACACTGGATGGATTTTTATCATTTTATGATGGTTGTGTACAGGCACTGCCAACACACATTTCAGTACAATCAACTTGTAAAAGTGCATGTATTATTATATGACCCCTTTAAGGTTTTTACTAAGATATTATTGTTTTAAAACAACAGTTTATCTTATTCATTTTAAATTTGTAAAATCAACTGTCTTTCCTCTTTTTTTCTTTTTTCTTTTTTATATTTATGTGCATATGCAGCAACATGTAGTCCAAAACAAATTTCCTTCCGAGGATAATAAAGTATAAAGAAACCCGACAATGAAACCCGACAATGTATAAAAGGCTCCATTAGGGCCTGCTCACATATCGCGTCTTTTGCGCGCTCAAGTTTGTTATTTCGAATGTAGGCGCGCGGTATGCGTGCTCATAATGGAAGCGACGCGCTCATTTTTTCCAAGGCTCAAACTGAGCTTGACGACGTAGTTGTCACGTGAGCAACCGTTCTGACCTTCAAGTAGCTGTGCCAGCACAAATATGAATTGAAATCTGAAACAAATCTGTTGTTGAAATATTTTGTCCCGTTGCTTTTATGAACTCTATATCTATGGGCTTCTCCCTTGACTTTATGCCTCCATGTCCACCCGATTGCCTCATAGACAGTAAACGATTGCCTACGAGCTTCTACTTCTGTCTATACGGTAATTTCTCTACTGTGCGACAGAGCGTCCCGTGGTTATGACGCAATCGTTAGCCTATTTTTTACAAGAATGGCTTCTACGGGGCCATAACGTAAGATACAAAGTAATGGAGCCTTTTATACATTGTCGTGTTTCTTTAGAAATAAATAATGGACAAATGGAGTCTTTGGACGCCTCAGATGTAAAGTTATTCGCTGTCAAAGTGACGCCAAAATGAATGGGAGTCAATGGGATGCTAACAGCAGGTGATAGCCAGCTACAATGGCGGCCCCCGGAGGCAGCTTCAACTTCCGGCTGATGGATTACCCCCTTGGGTTTTCTTCCCACCGGAGCGATTTCAAAATGGCGGCTGAGTGAAATCAGCTCAGTTTGAGCATGCGCAGTGCGCTTGGCAATCAGGAAGTGAGTGCTTCTAATTGACTTCACTTTTCTCCGTTGAAGTCTATGGGGTCGCTGCGTCCATTTCTTTTACTGTCTATGGATAGTGTCCATATGCACACTTCAGAATCTAGACAGAAGTAGTAGATCATCCGGGTACTTTTTGCCTACTCTTTTATGAGAATGAATGAATTTGGACATTCTTCTTTTGTCACATACTTTGTTTCACCTACTATATATGCGATTTCAGATGCAGCTATTGTGTCAAGCTAGCATAACAAGTCTTATCATGGCTATCACTTATCATACATTGATACATTTTATGGATTAATAAAGAACCCCTTTCTACGGTGGCTGAGAGAGCTCAACGCGCTGCAACTGAAGAAAACAAATTAAAAAGACATCTTCATCAGTTTCACAACACGTGTGCTCCAAATACTCACAACACAACCAAATACAGAAACGCGCTGCAAATAGCATAGACCACACGGTCTTTATAAGCAAAAAATCTAGTGAAGGGGTGTCCAATCTTGCTCCTGGATGGCCACTGTCCTGACTTTAGCTTCAACCCCAATTAAAAACACCTGATTCAGCTAATCAAGGCCATACTAGAGAGCTCAACGCGCTGCAACTGAAGAAAACCCATGGAAAAACACCTGTGCAGAATTCACTTTATAAATCCCAGTCAGTGGAAGATTGTGGAGATGGTCCTCACTGCAGAACACGGAATCCAGGGGGAGGAGTTGGATCTGGATCTCCCACCTTACGTATACCTAAACCTACCCATCTCCGCCCCCTGATCCCTAACCCCACCCCTAATCCAACCAATCTCCATCCCTGATCCCTAACCCCACCCCTAATCCAACCAATCTCCACCCCTGATCCCTAACCCCACCCCTAATCCTACCCAACTCCACCACTTAGATCTGGATCCAACTCCGCCCCCTGGATCTCGTGTACTGCAATGGGGTGCTACTGGGATTGTGCACACACACACTGGCACACTATACCTCCTCCCCGAAATACACGCGTAAAAAACGTGTAAAGTTTCGGCTGATTTCTAAGCCAGTAAAACGTCCTCACTAGTCGGTTGTCATATTTCACTATATAAGTGAAAACATTAGCCCTCGTCACAATTATAACCAAACCTGTGTTCAAGTTCACAGAAGTATTATTAAATTTCAGTGTCTTGATTTTAATGAAAAAAATATTTTGTAGTTTTTTTAATAATTATTTTAATAATTATAATTAATTATAGCCTATACACTCACCGGCCACTTTATTAGGTACCCCATGCTAGTAACGGGTTGGACCCCCTTTTGCCTTCAGAACTGCCTCAATTCTTCGTGGCATAGATTCAACAAGGTGCTGGAAGCATTCCTCAGGGAGTTTGGTCCATATTGACATGATGGCATCACACAGTTGCCGCAGATTTGTCGGCTGCACATCCATGATGCGAATCTCCCGTTCCACCACATCCCAAAGATGCTCTATTGGGTTGAGATCTGGTGACTGTGGAGGCCATTTTAGTACAGTGAACTCATTGTCATGTTCAAGAAACCAATTTGAAATGATTAGAGCTTTGTGACATGGTGGAAGTAGCCATCAGAGGATGGGTACATGGTGGCCATAAAGGGATGGACATGGTCAGAAACAATGCTCAGGTAGGCCGTGGCATTTAAACGATGCCCAATTGGCACTAAGGGGCCTAAAGTGTGCCAGGAAAACATCCCCCACACCATTACACCACCACCACCAGCCTGCACAGTGGTAACAAGGCATGATGGTTCCATGTTCTCATTCTGTTTACGCCAAATTCTGACTCTAACATCTGAATGTCTCAACAGAAATCGAGACTCATCAGACCAGGCAACATTTTTCCAGTCTTCAACTGTTCAATTTTGGTGAGCTCTTGCAAATTGTAGCCTCTTTTTCCTATTTGTAGTGGAGATGAGTGGTACCCGGTGGAGTCTTCTGCTGTTGTAGCCCATCCGCCTCAAGGTTGTGCGTGTTGTGGCTTCACAAATGCTTTGCTGCATACCTCGGTTGTAACGAGTGGTTATTTCAGTCACTGTTGCCCTTCTATCAGCTCGAACCAGTCTGGCCATTCTCCTCTGACCTCTGGCATCAACAAGGCATTTCCGCCCACAGAACTGCCGCTCACTGGATGTTTTTTCTTTTTCGGACCATTCTCTGTAAACCCTAGAGATGGTTGTGCGTGAAAATCCCAGTAGATTAGCAGTTTCTGAAATACTCAGACCAGCCCTTCTGGCACCAACAATCATGTCACGTTCAAAGTCACTCAAATCACCTTTCTTCCCCATACTGATGCTCGGTTTGAACTGCAGGAGATTGTCTTGACCATGTCTACATGCCTAAATGCACTGAGTTGCCGCCATGTGATTGGCTGCTTAGAAATTAAGTGTTAACGAGCAGTTGGCCAGGTGTACCTAATAAAGTGGCCGGTGAGTGTATATTTTTGCTAATCTTTGTCTTTTTACAGCCAAATTAACTTAGTGAAGTTGTGCCCTGTCTGTGCACAAATAAAATAAAGAAACTGTAAAATGATGTTAAAGAATAATTTATATAATTCTTTATGTAATTCTTTATTCAATTTGAATGAATGTTGCAACTGTCCCTGTGGACTGTTGCAACCGTCCCCTATTATGGGGCCAGTTACAACATTTGACATTGTCTATTCAAATATAAATTAAATTGTATGTATATTATCATATTTACACATGTTACCATGTGGGGGGTAGCTGAGAGATGTGGGTTAAATGTATTACAATTTTGGCCTACCAATACAAAAAACCTCTTAGAACCGTCACTACCCCCTATATAATAAGATAGTTTATTGTAGCTCCTGACATTTCCTGCAACTCATGGAGATAATGTAACTTGAAGATAGGTTGAAATTCCCTTCATTGGTGAAATTCGAGATTCTCCAGCGCAACTAATGTACCAAAAAGGTCTAATGTATAGATAATATGCTTGACAGATTATGACAGTTCAACCATTTAATGACTTATGCATTTATGGGGGTTGAGACTGTTCAACAGAGAACTATAGCCTATAATATATTTTGATTTACATGACATACCGGTAAGCAATTGACAGTGTAGGGAACAGCAGACAATTGTACATCAATTGCATGAACGGACTAAGCATTTGTAATTCGTTTAAAATAATAAGAAATTGCTTTTATGATGTTCACAAGACTAGATGATGTGGAGGTTGAGCCATAGGGGTTGAGCATGTAGCCTAGCCTAGTTTTGAGGGTTTAAATGTGATCTGAGAATGAGAAATATATACCAAAGCATCTGAGAAAAAAAGTTTGGGCTGATATTGTAATTATTTGATATCCCAGGCTCCACATCATAGCCGCTACATCCTTCAGGAAATCAAGTTGTGTTTGTAAATGTCATTGATAAGAAATCAAAGAAAACTTATTTGATCAATGAATTTGTGTTTTGCACAGTCTGCGTCGAGGATCATCAATAAAGTTTGTTCAACACCGGAAGTGTGACGTCACGCAATGGCGGTCTCCATGTGGATGTATAGAATCAACGTGATTTTGCGCATGTTTTACAGTCTGTAACGTACAGAAAAGCCAGCAAAAATCTGTTTACATTTTTTTTGGAGGCCACAATAAGGTAAGAAACACAGTATAATATTTAGATTAAACGATGCTGTTTATCGAACAAACCTACAAGAGTTCAGCTCCTGTTATCATAGAAGTGTATGGTTGATGGATAGTTATTAATTGTTGAAATAGATTTAAATAGGGACTCTTTATTTAAACAAAGAATGATATATAAATAGATAGATATACAGATGTAATATTCAACATTTACGTTTGTATATTTGATAATTATATTCGAGGGAGTTGTTCTGGTTGTTTTTTTTTATTATTTTCTGTTGATTGCCAAATCAAGTTAACGTTATATGTAAGGCTGAAACGAAATAAAGCTGCAGTCCAAGCTTGCAATACAAAATACTTGCAACGTGCTGGTATTTATTGTGATGTCCGTATGAATGTTGTGATATTGCAGGTCCCCAGAGTGAACCTGCTGTCAGCTGAGAATCAGTGTTCATATCTGAGATGGCTTCGTTTAAACCCACCAGAATTCAGACCTATCCAAAACTTGGAGAGAAAGTAACAGAGGACACGCTCTACTGGAAAAATTACAAAGTATTGTTTATTATTTACATGTCTAATGGTGTATCTTAACAGTTTTAATTGGTCAACATTTCTTAGAAGTTTTTCGCCATTTATTCACCCTGGTTTTGATGACAGTCTGTGTTTTTTCTTTCAGCCTGCTTTGCAGATTAAAGAGTTTGGTGCTGTAACAAAGATCGAATTCTCTCCTGTCCCACCTCACAATTATGCCGTCACAGCCTCCACCAGAGTGAGTCCATTTATTGTTCTTTTTCTCTCATTACATATTCCTACTACTCTCATATTTACATATTTATGTATGTATTTATTCTATACAAAGTGAGTTGTTGAGTTGTTTCTGAATGTCTGTCAGTTCTCAATACTTTGATGCAAAATTCTATATTATTTAATTGTTGAAGAAAACTAAACACAAAATTGATTCTTTTATCCTTTTTTATTAAACTTTTTTTTAACAAATGTGTCTCTGTGTTTACATAAATTAAATTATAATTTATTTTCTTAAGGATAAAAAAAAATCTTGGCTAATGTTATAAACTATATGGAGCCCTTAATTACACATTACTATATAATATTAAAGGTTACAATTAACAACAGAGCCCAAATTATTAAATTCAGTTGCTGTTCTATGAAAATTCTATTTTTAGATATTATAATCCACGTTCAAATAAGAAAAAGAAAACAAAACATGTAAATTCAGGCAGGTTTTGCATTAACTTCTAAATCTAATTATAAAGTAAAGTGGCTTTCCTGTAGCTCAAACAGTAGAGCGTTGGTGCTTGCAAGGCCAAGGACATGGGTTTGATTTGCACTGTAGTTTTTCAAGAACTGATAAGAATGTAAATGTGTACCTTGAAATGCAATGTAAGTCGCTAAAAAGCGTCTGCCAAATGCATAAATGTAAAGTTTCTACTCCAATTCATTTTTGAAATATAATCATTTACACAGTGGCTATCATAATTTGTTTTCATGACAATTTTATTTAAACATGTATTAAATAATCAAGACACTACTAACATGTTAAGTAAATATAATGAATAGGCTAATATAGTGCATATATGAAATGCTTCTCTCTAGAGTTCATTTCTCTAGAGAACTAACCTGCTGTCGACATTAAATGCCTGAGGTAAATGTAATGCTACGTGATATATTATTGTAGAATTGATATTATTCTCAAGCTGTTTTAATTGATATCTTTCCGCAGTTGAAACACTGGTTGAGAGATGTAAAAATGCAGATCGATCGTCTCTTCTACATCTGTGCATTTTACTGGTAGCAAATAGCGTTGCATAACCGCGCGTGCCCCCTTCTGGATTTGAGTGTGGATCGCCTGTGACTGACTATGTTACAAAAGCTTTCGATTTCAGATAAATGCTATTCTTTTGAACTTTCTATTCATCAAAGAATCCTGAAAAAAAAAATGTACACAACGGTTTTAAACATTGATAATAATATTGAATGTTTTTTAAGCATTAAATCCACATATTAGAATGATTTCTGAAGGATCGTGTGACACCGAGGACTGGAGTAATGATGCTAAAAATTCAGCTTTGATCACAGGAATAAATAACATTTTAAAATATATTAAAATAGAAAAGTTATTTTAAATTGTCATAATATTTTTAAAAAAATATTAGGTTTTTTTTTGTATTTTTAATCAAATAAATGAAGCCTTGGTGAGCAGAAGAGACTTCATTTAAAAATATAAAACATCTTACCGATCCAAAACTTTAAAACAGCAGTGTGTGTATATATATATATATATATATATATATATATTACAAATGATCCACACTGTAATGCACATGAAATATATGTATATACTACTGTGTATATATATATATATATATATATATATATATATATATATATATATGGTATATAAATATGTATGTAATGCACATCGTTTAGTTTTATTTCAGGAATACATGGCCTCGGCCCATAGTTCCAAAGTCACAATAGCATGGACAGATGCTCTTTTTTTCATTCCATGATATATATACAATGCTAGTCTCCATGCATGCTTCGACTCACAAACCTGTGACACATCAACACAAACATCACCCACAAGTGTGAGATCACTCAAATAGTTCTTACGCAGGTCCATGTACAAAGAACAATCATACAAGAAATGCTTCTCGTCTTCAATCACAGAGATATTAGTTAGTTTACAATAACTACAGATTCTCTCTGTCATTGGTATATTACTCCACCCATTTCTATGGCTAATCAGTGCCCTGAGCATCTGAACAATAACAGAGATCGTACCAACTGTATGTAGATGCAATGTAGCTCTCCTGTACCACCATTGACTTGCATTGTGAATATATATTCAACTTCTTATTATCTAAAACTAATGTGTACCAAGCATTTTGTGCTCTTTCTCTCAATCGTTGATTCAGAATAGATGTGAATATTCTTATATCACCTACACTTTGAGCCTCCCAGGCACTAGAGAAACCATTGAGATACAATAAAACTCGAATGCAGGAAACCCATGTTTTTCTACCAACTTCATCTAACTGGAAAAGCATATTATAACATTTTCTTGGGTACCAATAATTAGGCATGGACACTAATTTTATCCAGTACGTGATGCACCTTTTCATATAAGTAGTAGACAATGCAAATCTACCCAGGTCGCCCAGAACAGCTACATTGCTCACACCCGTACTGATACATAAGAGTCTTTTACAGAAAGATAACTGAACATTCTCAATACACTTCACTGGCTCAAAGCCCCATATCTCAGATCCATAATACAATATGGGTGCAACCATGGTCGAACAAATACAGCGCTTGGTTACAGCTAATTTTATCCTTACGAACAAACCTTAATAAAGAGAGCATTGCCTTCTTTCCTTGGTTTACTAAGTGTTGTCGAGTTTTCCACCATAACAATTTTGGTGTAAACCATATACCCAGATATTTATAAGCATTAACCACTGTAATGCACATGAAATACATTTATATACTACTGTGTGTATATATATATATATATATATATATATATATATATATATATATATATATATACACACAGTAGTATATAAATATATTTCATGTGCATTACAGTGTGGATCATTTGTTCTTAATTGCCATAAAAATAATGTCGCAATCAAAAAAAAAACCTTGACCTGTTTTTGTGAGCTTTTCTTGTGTGTTCCCTGAGAGTTGAACTCATCACAGTATTGTTGGTAGCATAATGCTGCTCTCACGCATGTAGTATACTGATTTTATAATGTTCTGCATCAGATTCACGTATATGGACCTCACTCTCAAGAGCCCACACGGAGCTTCACTCGTTTCCGGGATACAGCGTATGGAGGGAGCTTCAGAGGTGACGGGAAGCTGTTAGTGGCAGGAAGTGAAGATGGAATCATCCGACTGTTCGACATCAAAAGCCTAGGGGCTCTCAGACAGTTCACAGGGCACTCCAAGTATGACCTGGCATGAAATAATGACTATTGAATAATATAATAACTTATATTATAATAACTTGTATAATAACTCAATTCATTTCTTTAAACCCAGTAATGTAGCTGTGTCAGCAGTTCTCTTGTCTTAAGTCTGTCTTTCCTGCTCTCTCTCTTGTGCACAGGGCGGTACACGCAACCACTTTCCTGTCTGATGGGTTTCGTGTGGTGTCGGGGTCCGATGACCTGTCGTGTCGTGTGTGGGATGTGGCCAGTTCTGTTGAGCTCAGCTCATTCACTGAACATACAGACTATATCAGAGCTGCCGCCCCCAGCAAACTTAACCCAGATCTGTTTGTCACAGGTTATTATTTTTAATTCACCAGACTTGATCACATCCCCTTCCATCTAAATTTGGCTTAGCCAGATCCATACGTTTTAATATTGACAGAAATAAAATTAATATGCACATAAATATACAGCAATTATACAGCAATTAGATATACAACAATAAAGTTCTTTGTTTCATAGTGCCAACAAGTCAGTGAGGTTAAAACTGCACACGTGTAATTTTTTATTATTAAACAGAATGGAATCTGTTTGTTTGACCAATGGTGGGGGGATGGGGACATCATTTTTAGATTTTTAAGAAATAAAAAAGTTATTCAGCAAGGATGCATTAAATTGATCAAAAGTGTCAGTAAAAAATTTGGTTACAAAAAAGTTATTTAAAAACAACAACTTTTGAACGTATTCATTAAAGAATATTAAGCAGCACACATTTTTTTCAACAATAATGTTAATAATAAGAAATTTTTCTTGAGCAGCAAAAATCCGCATATTAGAATGATCACTGAAGACTGGAGTAATGATGCTGAATTTTGTTACCACAGGAATAAATGACACATTAAAATAGAAAGCATTTTTTTATTGTATTAATATTAAACAATATTACTGTTTTTTTTTTTTTTTATCAAATAAATGCTGCCTTGGTGAACATAAGACTTCTTTAAAAAAATATACAAAAATCGTACTGAGCCCCAACAACAGTAGTGTGTATATTATTGTTGTAGCAGCCATTGGACCCAAAAAAAAAGAAGAGAGTCTCGACTGATGCATAAGGTGTCCTTTATTTGGTTCGCCAAACCAGCATGACGTTCAACCTTTTAGTCCATCATCACCTTAGCACCGTGAATACTGTATTGAAAACATACATACAACAAACATTTCACACACTTGTTTTCACGGCTACAAACGCCATTATGTAAGCAAACATTTAGGGTGACAAACATTAATTACACAGCAAAATAAACCATACATATGTGCAAACAATATTATGAATTATCGATGAATGAAAACACATCGTACCTCGCTGCGCTCACCAAGGAATGCAAAACAATATACGATAGTCCTTTCTTCCGTCATGAAACGGGCGTCAAGTTCTTTAAGTTAATGAATAAAACACAAAATCTCAGATAAAATCCATGTAGGCTCAAACACAGCTGCGTACCATTCACACCTGCCAGCTACCGTTAAAATGTTCATCTTCCCTTGTGCAAAACTACTGTGCCACCAAAGGGACAAATTTCAACATTACAGGTGCACCGAATTTCCGATCAATCACATACAAAATATAAAAATATTTGAATAAGTTACAAACATTTACACAAATATTTTACATACTTCATTTAATCAACAGCATACATTAACTCCAAAGTGGTCCTTTACAATTGTGTATATGATATTGGTAAAGGGTTAGTTCACCCAAAAATTCTTTAATTACTACAAATGAAGATCTTTTTGATGAAATATGAGAGCTTTCTGTCCCTCCATTGACAGCTACGCAACTACCACTTTGACACTTCAAAAAGTTCATAAAGAGATCGTAAAACTAATCCATATGATTTGAGGGGTTTAGTCAAAATTTTCTGAATGATCTCTTTATATGATGAACAGATTGAATTTAGTCTTTTATTCACATATAAACATTCATCAACTCACACATCAGTTGTGGTAAACAGAAGCTCAACCAAACCTGCTTAAACAGGTTTCAGAAAGCTCAGATTTCATCAAAAAGATCTTCATTTGTGTTCCGAAGATGAACGAAAGTCTTTACGGGTTTGGAACGACATCAGGGTGAGTAATTAATGGCAACATTTTTATTTTTGAGGTGAACTATCCCTTTAAATATGCTCATAAAGGTTATAGTTTGTACAGTAGTTAATGTTTGCCCTGAATAATGGTTGGCTCTGTTGCAGGTTCGTATGACCACACAGTAAAAGTGTTTGATGTGCGGACAGGGAGCAGTGTGATGACCATGCAGCATGGCCACCCTGTGGAGTGTGTGCTGTTGTACCCATCAGATGCCCTGCTGGTGTCCACAGGTAGACAACACTCATCAGTCGTTACTAATGCTTAGAACCCCTTGCAACCATTTATTCTCATAGGTCATAATGCATATTAGACTTGGTGCATTAATGTAGTATTTAACTGATGTGCTATTTTACAACCGTTTTAAATGTGGCTCTTCCAGTCAAGATTTCATCTTAGTCTATTTGTTTTATAATAAAATATCGGAGTCATGTTGAAATAATTTTGTGTGAATGCATTACAGGAGGGCGCTATGTGAAAATCTGGGACCTGTTGAAAGGTGGACAGCAGCTCGTTTCTCTTAAGAATCATCACAAAACGGTTACGTGTGCATGTCTGAGTTCTACAGGCAACAAACTGCTCACAGGATCACTGGACAGGTATGTTTGCATGTGTGAGCCATAGTAAAGTAAGGCTATAATGTACTTATTTGTGCTGGTATTTATTTCTTCTGTTTGCTTTCCATGTTAGGCATGTCAAAGTGTATAACTCCTCCTATAAGGTTGTGCATAATTTCGACTGTGCGGCTTCCATCCTCAGTCTGGCTATTGCGGTACGTTTAGTTCATTGCACAGGAAGAAATCTATAAATATAAACGTATAAAAGTGATTTTTCTCTTGGACTTGATTTAAGGTGTTGCTCATTGTGGTTCTCCTTTAGCCTAATGATAACACAGTTGCCGTTGGGATGACCAATGGCGTGTTGAGCGTCAGGCACAGGAAGCAGAAAGAAGAAAAAGAGACGTTAACTGATCGAAGGCGACGGGGACCAGCGTACCGGGTCAATGTCAAGGGAAAGACCTTTGGGCCCAAACAGGTGATATTTTATTATTTTATTCATTTATTTATTTTCTCAATGAATGATTCAATTCATTTTAATAAAATTTTGGATTTGTTAACATTTCAGCTAAAATTGGTCTGTAATATTGCTATGCAACAGCTGAAATATTCATATCATAATATAATTCAATAAAATAAGGATTTGCTTTAAGTGCCGTTTACTAAGGCATGCATAAAGTGAACTCTTGTTTTGCTTGTTTTTTTTGTTTTTTTGCTTCAGTTGTCTTACTGTCTTCATGTCTTTTAGTATGATTTCTTGGTCAATAAACCAGCAAAGCAGCATCTACAGAAACATGACAAACAGCTAAAAAGCTTTGAGGTGTCCAAAGCCCTAGACTCAGCTCTGCAGGTAAACACACACACACACACACGTGTGGAGATAAGACATTTCATGTTTGATATGACTGTTCAGATGAAGACACCAGTATATGTTTGTGCATGTTTACACAGGCATGGAAACGCAGCAGTAAACCAGAGGTTGCGGTGGTCGTTATGATGGAGCTCAACCGCAGAGGAACTCTGAAAAACGCTCTCGCAGGACGAGATGAAGCAAGCTTAGCCAGGATACTCGACTTCCTTCTAAAGTGAGTAACACACAGTATTATGACTTCAGACTCTCATATAACACATGTTATGATGGCTCATGTACAGTACAGTAAAATAATATACTGATGTAGTACAGCCTCATCTGGGGACTTGTTGAAACTTGACTTCGATCTTCTACCGATTTTCATCAAATCACAAATTAAAAAAATAAATGTTCTAATGTGTAACACTTCTTTACCTTCGCAGTACTACTTAAAGTTACTTAAAGGTGCAATGTGTAAAAATTGAGTATCTATTAACAGAAATGCAATATGACATCCATAACTATGTGTTCAGTGGTGTATAAAGAACTTACTTAATAAACCGTAATGTTTTTATTACCTTAGAATGAGGCATTTATATCTCCATAACCGCGGGACCCCCTTCTATAAAGGTCGACATATTGTGACGTCATGTTTCTACCGTAGCCGACAGCGAACAAACAGCGTTACAGAGCGCGTTTCGTCACTACATTGAAAGAGAAGCCGCAGAAAGCTAGAAGCTAGCCATAGACACTGAGTAGTGACTTTTCCCTTGTCAGTGGTGTAAAATATGTAGTTGGATTGTTTCATGTAACTTAGTTCTTCTCCCTCGCTGTGTTATGGCTTTGCTAGGTGGGGATAAATGTGCTGGTTACGTTCGTGAGACAGCTGATTAGTACTCTTGTCATTGACCGTAAAACAGTAACGTTACAGGAATCACCAACCCGACGATCGCGGTCGACAAGTCGATCTTGGAAGCATTTTAAGTCGATCGAGTTTCCAAAATCAGAGAAAAAAAGCCTATTGTGTGTAGTAAGTGTGTCTAGGGGATGCGGAGGCGCCCGCGCTGTTACAATCACGTCATTTTTGCCGCACGCACCTTTGGGCTCATGCGGACGCGTCGAGTTTAAACAAGGCTTTACGCTTTAACCAGCTCAGCCACAGTAACAGCTCATATTTAGCCAGCTAAACTTTTACTACCCTGTTAGAAAAAATATACAGTTGCATAGTTTCATGTGGTTCTTCTCCCTCGCTGTATTATGGGTTTGCTATGTGGGGAGAATGTGCTGGTTACGTTTGTGAGACAATCAGCTGATTACTATTATTATATTATGTATTAAGACCCTTCATCCTCACCTGACTATGGCTTGTGTAAACTTTATCCATGATGTGGTTTATAATGGACTGTGGTACAGAAACTTGGTTTACTCTGGCTATTCTCTGCTGTCTCAGACGATGATGTTTGTCCCGTTTTAGCCACCGTAGCTTCTTCGAAAGGGAGGGGTGAGCGGTGGGCTGAGCCCTTAGTGCAAACTCGCAACCGAACCGCTAGATGTCGCTAAAAATCACACACTGCACCTTTAAAGTTATTGAGGTTAATCACAATAAGCCACGAACAAGGACTCAATGCGGTGCTCGTACTGACGGACACACAGCTGAAGTACGTGCGCAGATGCCGCCTCTCACATGCATGCGATCTCGAATTCCGTTCTCTTTCACAGCCACGCACACAATTATGTCAAAATGCACATTGTGTGAACTGTGGAGTATTCAATTTAAATAGTCTGTTATGCGAACGAAAACAAATGGGAGAAAATCTGATGTGTAACTATATTCGTGCATCCGTTCTTAAAGGGGTCATATAATGCCATTTTTGTACAAGTTAATATGAATCTTTAGGGTCTAAATGAAAACTTTGTAATATACTTTTATTAAAAATTGTCATTAGTATTGTAAGAAAACACTATAATTTTACCTGGTCAAAAATAGCTCTGTTTTGATAGTAGAAATAGTACAGATATGTATATAATGTTAATTTAAGAAAAAGAAAAAGTATATTGTGTGTGTGTATATGCATGATATTGAAAGGCTGTGTGGGATTCACATTTAGAAGTTTCAGCACTGTTAATATTCTGTGAAATGCATGCCATTACATTCTTGTGACAAAAACTTGACTTCTTAGAATGGTTAAAGCACTGGGAAATTCTTAGGCAGGTTTTCAGGGTGTGGTAACTGAGAATTTGGGTCACACAACACAAAAGTGACCCAGAACAGGAGGTCAAAAACTGAAGCATAGACAAGCCACTAGAGTCTAGATCTCATTTTCTTGATTCAAGCCATTTCATGCCATGATACATGTATTTAATGACTTGATAAGAAAGAAATGATTCATAAATTAGGTTAAAGGATGTTTTTGGCTATTTTTTTCAGGTACATCACTGACCCACGCTTCTCTCGCCCTCTGCTCACGGTCGGGGATATTGTGCTTGGTGAGTTTCACATCATATCATGTGCACGTGAGCAAGTGAGAATGAAGAAGTGCTGGTTGCGAAATAGAATTGTTTTTCTCTGTTTTTCTTCATAAGAAATTGTGTGTGCGTGTGTGTGTGTGTAGATCTGTATCAGCAGGTTATTCCCCAGTCACCTGTAGTCGAGAGGTTGCTGCAACGTCTTTTAGAGCTGTTGGGTCGGGAAGCAGAACTTCAGCAGGAGTTTTTACAGGTCTTGGGAATCCTGGACACACTTTTCGCATCCTTGAACCTCAGAAAAGATGTTGCCACCCTTGCTGCCCCACCAGTAGCGCAGGGGTCACAGCTACAAGCCGCCTGATACTCATTACAAAACTCAGTGGGATCTTGTGACGTAACCGAAACATGCTAGACTTTGAAAGGCGTGGTGCAAACGAAAGGGATATTGAAAGGAAACAAACATGAGAGACAGCTGTGGGGAAGATGTTGCTTACTGACAGTGAATAATCACTGTGTCAGCCATTTTCTGCTGATGTTTGCAGAATTTGAAAATGTATTTTGTATATTCCTATCATAAAATCTTTGAATCTGTTTTGTTTCGTTCTTTCCTCCATTTACATTTAGTCATTTAGCAGACGCTTTTATCCAAAGCGACTTCCAAATTAGGACTAAATTAAAGCGAGTCATCGTGAAGAGGCAAAAACGAGTCATCGTGAAGAGGCAAAAACAACAACGCAAGAAGTGCTCAAAATACAAAGTGCAGGCATTTCTCAGAGTAGCATAAACCAGACAAGGGAGGATTAAGGGAAAAGGAAAGAGTTTTTTTAATTTATTTTTTTATGAGGTTAAGTGCTCACGGAAGAGATGAGTTTTCAGCTGTCTTTTGAATGTTGTCAGTGATTCTGTGTTCCGGATGACGGTGGGGAGATCATTCCACCAGCATGGAACCGTGAATGAGAATGTTCTAGAGAGTGATTTTTTTGGCTCTGTGATGGTACCACGAGCCGTCGCTCATTGACCGATCGTAGGCTTCTGGTAGTGACGTAGACTCGTAGGAGGGAGCTGAGCCTGTGATAGTTCTTTAAGCAAGCGTCAATGCCTTGAACTTGATGCGAGAAGCCAGTCCAATTGATAATTGAATTGGCTTTCATTGATAATCAAAAATCGTCTTATTATAAAATGGGCCTATACTGTACACTAGAGCCCGACCGATATGGATTTTTAGGGGCCGATACCGATAAAAAAAAGCCAGATACCGATATATCGGCCGATATTAGTTATGTGTATATTATAATACAGTAGCAATATTATGTATGTGTATTATAGTACAGTACCAGTCAAAAGTTTGGACACACTTTCCTATTGGTGTGTACAAACTTTTGATGGGTACTGTATATAGAATACACCGTATAAACAGAATAAATATATAAACGTTTTGGAATGATCACTCAAATGTTGTGATCAAACACTTGTGTGACAAAGATATGTGTTACTAGATAAATGGATACATGAATCACCGCACCCGCATTTAAAAAAAAATATTAATTTATCGTCTATTATAAAGGCCGATACCGATAGTTAGGAAAATGCCTAATATCGGCCGATAATATCGGCGCGCCAATATATCGGTCGGGCTCTACTGTACACAATAATACAATAATGATTGGTGGTTTAATTCAGTGACTGATGGAAGTTATCAGAGAATTACTTTGAGAATAACTTAAAATGTATGGCAACATGTAACCAAGGGCCAAATGTAACCTTATGTTCAGAATTGGGGTGGTTAAATAATTATGTAAGAATCAATCATTGGGAAATCCATATTTTTTCAAGCACTAATCTTGACTATTACCGACCTTGAGTGTAACCACAGATGTCTGTCTTAAATTTTTACAGAATCTAAGACAATTCTGAATTTCTCCGCCAATAGATGCTCAGTTAAGTGTGCTGCACATAAAAAATTTTTTTTAATTCTTTCATTTACTCACACTCAAGTTGTTTCAAACCTGTATGAGTTTTTTCTTCTGCTGAACACAAAAGATGACATTTTGAAGAATGTCTGTAACTAAACAGTTGATGGGCCCCATTGAGTTTCATAGAAGGGAAACAATACTATGAAAGTCAATGGTGCCCATCAACTGTTTGGTTACGGACATTCTTCAAAATGTCGTATTTTGTGTTCAGGAGAAGGAAGTGAAGTATCTCATACAGGTTTGGAACAACTTGAAGGTGAGTAAATGATGACAATTTTCATTTTTGGGTGAACTAATACCGTACACAGCTAAAAAAAAAACTTACCCATTCTCAAAATACTTTGTATTATATGTGTTTTTATATGTAACATGTTTTAATATCTTATAACCTGTAATAGTGCTTATTGAAGGTTCAAATCTAAAATGCATAACTGGATGTAATGTGACTGATAAAATGATTATTTGAAACATTTAAATACGTTCAGAAACCGAAAGAAGCCAGCTTGCTTTGTCTACTACGGGGTTACTGAGTAACGGCTGCATTTCTGATATTCCATGCGCCATCTACTGTTAGAGAGGGTGTGAATTTTCATTCTGATTCAAAGGGTTCTTGAAACTACAAATATTCCAATAATTTCTGTGAGAGATGCCCTAATTATGATGTGATGCAGGAGGGCTAATATAGGATTTGAACCACACACACACACACACACACACACGTGTGTGTATATATATATATTTATACACACACACGTGTGTGTGTGTATAACAGTAGTCAACATTTGAAGTGGATCAAAACCTTTCTTCAAAGTTTTACATGAATTTTGAACAATACCCGTTCTTGTTTTACGACAACTTTGATGACATTTTTTTATCCACTTCAAATGTTGATTACTGTATATATATATATATATATATATATATATATATATATATATATATATATTGTAAGTCAATACATTATATTAAATTCCATAATGGATTTTTAAGGGTGGATTAGGTTTTAATTTACTTTTAGGACCCATTTTATTATCTTCACAATATCGTCAAGAGTAAAACATAATGTTATGTGAAACTTATAAGATGTGCGGCCTGAATAAAAAAACAATAATTCTAAGAAGAATACATAAGAGATTTTTAAATTAAGTCATTTTTAAACACCACAAAACTTGGAGTTAAAAAACTACAAAAAAATAATTATGTAGTAAGATGTGTATAGCTTTTTTTTTCTTTTCTTTTTTCCGCCCATTTTTATTAATATGAATGAAACAATTGACTACAGACATATAAGAAAATATTACTTCAAAGGGAGAAACATTAACATACAAGATAGCATTCTGAAGAAGGAGGGGGGTAATAATAAAATAAATAAGTACATAAAATAACGTGCCTTGAGGACGTGGCAGTTCTAAACCAATGGCATAATCACGTTTGGACTGAACTGGACCAATCGCGAAGCGACTCAGAAGGCGTTTGCTCGGGCGGTCCTGAGGGCAATCTACAATCTGATTGGTGCGTTAAGGGAAGTCTGAGCGTTCTGTCCAATCTGATTGGTCGGTTGAACGGGCCATCCAGGGGAAGCGTCTCAACTAATTTGACATCCGGAGTTACTGAGATCAGCCGGGCGGCGTGAAACGCTACAATATTTGGTAGGTAAAGTTGCATCAAACCATTAAACAGTTTATCGAATATGCTCCGTTATGCTTCGCTGTTTCGTTTATCTCGTTCTAAAGTGATTTGTATTTGCATGAAGCTTAATGCGAGGAATTTAAAAGATGTTTGCATGTCTAAATATCTGTGACATTAATTGAATGTTACAATGAAATGTTATTAAGAAAAAATGAGATAATATATATTTTTTGATAATACTTTGGAACAGCATTCATTGCACTACAAAAAAAATATTGTTTTTTTTTGTGTTTTTTTATATATATATAGATGTATTATGGGAGTGCCATGTAAATAACAGGCAACATGAATATGGTAATCATTCAGTGCCATGGTACATTAATGCATATATGTTCCGAGGATAAATATGTAGAGAACTTACTCTATGCATCTAGGAGCTTCCTGTCACATAAAATAATTAACTATCAATGTATATAGAGTTAGCATGATAGGAAATTATTATTTGTAACAATATTGCATGTGTTTGCATTTATATTCACTTGCTCTCCACTTTGCTTTTTGACCCTGTTAAGAAAAAATAAAATAGTACGTGAAAATGGACCTGTTGCCGCTCTTGTTGTTCGTCGCCCTCTGCGTTCTTCAGTCCTCCAGCAAACCCATGGAGAAGAAGGACCGGATCCATCACGACGCCCCCCTCAGCAACAAGGAGCACGATGATGAGGAGAACTTCGAGTACGACCACGAGGCTTTTCTCGGACAAGAGGAGGCAAAGACTTTTGACCAGCTCACTCCAGAGGAGAGCAAAGAGAGACTGGGGTAAAAACAGACGCACCACATATCTATGAGCTCTTCTGAGAAAGTTCTCCGGACCATTCGCTCTCTCTTTCTTTCTCTCTACAGTAAGATCGTAGAAAAGATTGACGAGGATCATGACGGCTTTGTGACTGTTGATGAGATGAAGCGGTGGATCAAACATGCTCAGAAGCGATGGATCTATGAAGATGTGGACCGACAATGGCAGGCTCATGATCTCAACTCAGATGCTTATGTCTCCTGGGAGGAATACAAGAACGCTACCTATGGTTACATCCTTGGTGTGTATAATGTGTTAATTGATGAATCATATTTCTAAGCTTTTGCTCACGCTGCACATGAATCTGATTTGGTTTTCCAATCTGATCTTTTGGACCAAGCAGCTATACCCTCATTTTGCAAGTGATGTAATCAAATCCATTTGTTGTGACTGTACAGTCAGTCTGACTACAATCTGAGCTCAAAACAACTAAAGGAATTTGAGTCAGGCCAAAAAATAAATACTGTTTACCATGTACATGTACTGTTTTAACCAGGAATAGCTTGAAATCCCAACTAATATGATTGTCTATGTGTGTTTAGATGAAGCAGATCCCGAGGATGGTTTTAACTACAGACAAATGATGACCAGAGATGAGCGCCGTTTCAAGATGGCTGACCATGATGGTGACATGAGGGCAAATAAAGAAGAGTTTACAGCGTTTCTTCACCCAGAGGAGTTTGACTTCATGAAGGATATTGTAGTGCTGGTACGTCTGGACAGTCACACTTTGCATCTTACATACTATTGCTGTTATCTTGTTTCTAGGCCTGTCGATGCAACACATTAATTCAGTTAATTAGTTATGGAACAAATAATGCATTCAAATTATAAACACATTTAACGCACCTGCCCCAGACCTATGTAGGTCATCATTTCACACAGTTGGTTGGTGATGAACATGATGCAGGGCAAGAACAATTCTATGGAGCCTATTAGAATAGGCAGTTAGAATGCCCCTAAAATTGAAGAAATGGGGGCAAATTTGCCCCTGTATGTGTTTTTGTTTGATGACGAGACGTTTGCCTACATAGATAGCTGAAGCAGACGTGCCTGTATGCGCTCACACTAAAACTCACAGCTTTTTTGATTGAGGTGTAAACTTTATATATAGGTTAGAAATTGCGCACACACAGAAAAATTCAGAAGCATAGAAACTGGTTTTCAACCTCTGCGCCATGAATTTTATAAATAATACAGCTTTGCTACTGAAAGGTACATTATATTACTCTGCAATGAGGTGATAACCTTGCTGTTTCTGATTCAAAACCCGAGGGTCAACCATGTCACATAGTATAACGCTCCTCAACAGAATCATTTTGGGAGAGGATTTATGTAAACACTGATATTGGATACCAGTCGTGTCTACTAAACAGGCGGGACAAAAAATCGGATTTTGGTCCAAAAGATCAGGGGTCTCATTTATAAAACTGTGCGTAGAATCCTTACTAAAAGTGTACGTGCGTCCGAAAGCCAAAAATGGCGTACGCAAACAAATACCATATGTGGAGCTTACAACACCTATTTTACTATGCATATCCTCATCTGCATATCATTTGCATATGATTATTCATCCACGTGATAACATGTTTAACGGTACAAGACATTTGGAAAATATGAAATACGGATGTGGCGTCACATTAGTTACATTAATAAAAAATAATTTGGTAGCCTATATCCTTGCCTTGTTTTTGAATAAATAAATCAAATAGTGTAAAATATATTTCAGAGAAAGTTTTTCTCAATCTTTTCCACTGGCCAAAGAGTATTTTTAATTGATTTATATTTTTAATGGAAACAGATAGACCTTGTAGTGCATTATTTGCACGAAACTATTTTCTCAGACAATCTGCTATTATCATGATAAGCAATTATCTCTGTAGTTAACACATTAAAACACAGCATGCCAGAGGAAAAGTGTTTGAAAGCATTGCATCCACAACAAATATTTCTATTTATTGAATATTAAAAAAAATTTGTAACTTCTCAGTAATGATTTAATGTAATTTAAGTGTCCAACTCCATTCATCAGAATGCCATATTTAATCTAAATGTTTATATCAGAAGTAAAACATAGTTTTATTTATTTAAACTGTTATTGGGAACATATTTCACAGAACACTGTATTTATGATTATAATGAAGATTTACGGTAGATAGGCTGCGTCAGTTTCACTAAAGAACAAAGGGATGGATATTTAACAAAGGGATGGACATTTAAAAAGGGATGGATGTTTGCTTCATGTGATAGGCTTGGTGAGTGAAATTATATTTGTATTATCTTTCTGTATACTGTATGTATAATTTTCTTCAGATTTTCGGTCTAAAAGTGACCAAAAAGACATTTAGCTCCAGCTCACCATCGGTGTCGCCAAACTGCTCCGTCTCCAAAACGTGCGTACGCACGGCTCAAAGTTTGCTTAAAGGTGCGCACATGCTCCCGTCAAGTTTGTTTTTTATAGATCACAACCTTTGCGTGGAAACTGGCGTACGTACGTTTCCAGCCCCGTTTTGTGCGTACGCACGCACGCTTTATAAATGAGATCCCAGATCTGTGCATTAAGACTTGCAGTGTAAACGCAGCCTGAATGGCTCAATGACTTACTCATTTAGACATTTACCGCCACCAAATGGCAGTTTAAGTTTCTTATTTAGAGTATCAGTTCATTAAAAAGACATTTTATATTTCCACATTAATAAAAAAGCCCATTAAATGGATAGATCACCCAAAAATGTAAGTTCTGTCATAATTGAATTGCCCTCATGTCGTTTCAGACCTGCATGATTTTCTTTCTTTTGCGGAACATTAAATAAGATATTTAGAAAAATGTTGGCAACCAAATTGTTTCGGTTACCAGTGACTTCCATTGTATGAACCAAAAAACACTTTGAGAGATAATTTGATTTGATTTGATTTCTCAAATTATCTTCATTTATGTACCACAGAAGAAAGAAAGTCATACAGGTTTGAAACGAACATGAGCGAGAGTAAATGATGACAATTTTTGGTGAACTATTCATTTAATACCCATTAATCTGATGCCATTGTTTATGCAATTGTAAATGCATTCGTGAGCTGCAATAAACGGTCTGTAAATATATCTAAATACCAAATCAGATGTAGCTTTAAAAAAAAAAAAAAAAAAGGCCGTTGTAGCCTAAAAGTTTGTGTAATAAATTATATGTTGAGTCAAATAAAATATTGCTCTCTCAAGCTACTTTTAATACAATTTAATACTACTTTAATACAATGACTTTAAATGATCTTTTGGGGGTAATTTGAATTTTTTTGTCTATGTTTTGATCTACAGGAGACCATGGAGGACATTGATAAAAATGGAGATGGTTTCATCGACTTGGATGAATATATTGGTAAGTCGTAAGTGTTTTTTTTTTAAGTGTGTATTTACGTTTCCTGTTCCATGTATTGATTTGTCTTACTTGTGCCCTTGTGTATTTCAGGTGATATGTACAGCCAGAATGGAGACCCAACTGAACCAGAATGGGTGAAAACCGAAAGGGAACAGTTTACAGAGTTCAGGGATAAAAACAAAGATGGCCGTATGGATAAAGATGAGACCCGTGATTGGATCATACCCTCCGATTATGACCATGCAGAGGCTGAGGCCAAACACCTTCTGTATGAGTCTGACGCAGATCAGGTAAAAACATGGTAATTCTCTGAAGGGACCCTTTGCAAAAAAGTCATAGCCATTAAGTATTTAGCTATCTTGAAAGTTGAAAGTTGTAGTTTGCTCTACGCCCTAAAGCATTAAAATCATTGTAAAGTCAATTTCTCTCTCTCTCAAAAAAAGTAAGATATTTGCATGAAGTTTAAATGGCTTTTAAATAAATAGTTAAGCCAATAAATGCATAAATAGTTTTAGCAAAATGGAACATTCTAGCATCATTTAATCACCCTCATGTCATTGAAAACCTATGTAATGAAAAGTTTAGCACAACATCCAAATGTTCTTTTCCATGCAAAGTAGATGGGAAAACAGTTTCTGGGTCAACCTGCTAAACATCTCCTTTTGTGATCCATGGAAAACATTTGGCAGATGCTTTTGTTCAAAGCAACTTGCATTGCGTTTAAGGCACCACCATGCTCTACTACTGTTTGAGCTCCAGAAATTATGCATTTTTATATGAATTAATTTGATTTCATTAATAAGCCATAATTCTATTGTTCAGGGGTGATGAAAGCAAATTAAAATGAATTAGATGTTGTGACAACTGCTGAAAATTATATATGATGATATGATTGTTTAGCCTTTTTTTATATATAAATTCGTAATAATATATATCACAATCGTTTCAGTTATTCTTCAATAACTGTTTTTTTTTCTTCTCCCATGATAGGATGGACATCTCACAAAGCAGGAAATTGTGGATAAGTATGACCTATTTGTCGGGAGCCAAGTAACAGATTTTGGAGAAGCTCTGGTCCGACACGATGAATTTTAATTTAGAAAAATTTACACTTGTGAAATGCAAAAAGAACAATAATTTATTTTATGATTTCATCACTGTGTTTACAAAACATTTCAGTTTTTTTTTACGCCGACTCGATCAAATCCAATTTTTTTGCCTTTTTCGTGAACATGTCCTTCGTAGCTTAACACTCATCGGCGTTGGATTCTGATGCGATTTAAAATGCTCTGATGAAGTAATATTCAGGTCAGCTTGTGAAGCTTGTCAAAGTGATGTGTAGAGGTTTGCCTAATGGTTTATATAATGCACTAAAAGCACCCATATAATGCAGCTTAATGGCATTTGTGTAACCCAACACAGCATAGAGCACTTGTTTCAAGTGGATATAGTGCACATAATATGAATCTTTTTAAAATAAAAAACAACCAATACCATTATGTAAACTACTTCTCTAAATAATACCAAATGTCTTACAACCACTACATGTACATGTTCTTCATCTTCATTTAGCCAGTGAATGTATGATATTGAAAATCAGGCATAGTAATAGATCATAGTTAGACTGTTGTGTAATTTCATTGTCTTTGGATCAAAACAGACCGAAACCAGAGTTCAGGATTTGTTTATTTCTCGAGCCTGCAGGAACACAGGATGTCGTGGCTCGATGTGCTGATCTATGATCAGTTTTATTGTTCTTTCATACTCAAAGGACAGTGAGTGCAAGGACAGAAACTATCAACTAATCTGGGGCTCTTTTATGAATAAAACCCCTGCTCCAAGGACCATTGAACACCATTCCACCCTCTGTGACCTGTCAGTGAGACCTTTGTGTTAGTACTGTCATTAATGGACTGAACCAACAAACTAAAGCTGTTTTTTTCCTCAAGTGCCTTTTTCTGTCTCCCTTAGCCTTCAAACTGCTTCGTTATTATGCGAGGCTTTGTTTTCTACCTTTTTTCCCTTGTGCAAATTCATACATGACTGAAAATGACCTCCTCACTTAATGTTAGTATATCGTTTGTGTATATATGTCTATAATTGAATGTGAACAATATGCTGTAATCAGGTATTGTAAATACTGTCTTATAGCGGAGAGTTTTTTCTCAATAAAATTGATCAAAACGAATCACGTTTTTAATTGTGTTTCCATTTGTGGGGTTTCCAGGTGAATTTCTAGTTTATGGAGATACTAATCTTATCCACTAGGGGGTGATCCTGGTCATTTGTACTTAATTGACTTCTTTTGAGCCCATAATGCACACAAATAATTTTAGGTCTATTCCCATGTTTTTCCATTACTTTGATATTATGCAATACTACTATAATGAACGAGGTCCACGTAATTTTAATTTTAGCTGATGAACCATCTACACCACAGATATTCTTATTGTTTGTCATGAGTAGATTTTATTTGAATTGGTACATTGCAATGCAAAGTGCAATTTCAATACAAAAAAAGCATGTCAATGCAATGCTGTACATACTGTAGGAAGGACACAGGATGTTCCCATTTTACGAAGGCTTATTTGGTGCTCAAGCTCAATATTGTAATTTCAAACAAGTGTTGTAGAGCATTTTTAGCTTTCATCAATCATCATCTCCCATCCTTACTTTCATCTGTGTCGAGTTGTTCATTGAAACATTCTATCTGCACGTCATGAGGATCATGAACATAGTTGAGATGTTGACCACTTGTATCTAGATTAGATACAGACCCCCCTTCTAGGCTACTGTCATCTAAATTTGTTGCAATGTCCTCGTTAACATAATATGTGTTTGAGCTTGCTGTGCTGTTCGTCTCTGCTGCCAAACATTGTTCTGATCCATTGTATTGACTTGAATCGGGTGTTAATGTGCTTAGATGTGTTTGTAAGTCAGTGTTTAAGATTCTTTGTGTAACACTGTCCTGGTTACTTACATCCTGAAACTTTTGTACAGAACTTTCAACAACTGAAGGATCTATATTAAGATCACCAGATTTTCTGATTCCATCTGATTTAAACTTTTCTGAATATTTGACGGAGGGTTTGTTGGCCTCTAAAACCAAGACTTTAGGGTTCGTGATATATGGCTCTCCTTTATAAATGGAGAATTCTGCTTGTGTAGTAGCATCTTCTGGTGCTGAGTTTTGTGTACAATCTCTTTCTTGACTTTCAGTTGAGTTTGTTTGTATTCTGTCCAGGTCAGACTTAAATCTGTGCTTCCCAGAATTTTTTTCGTGCCTTAATTCCAGTGGATTTGCATGAATTATTGCTTCAAAGTCAGTTTTTACATCTGTATGGCCAGTGTTAGGTATTTCGTAGTCTCGGTTGACTTCTTTGAGGTGTGTGTTGAGCGTTTCTGACTCATTTATGTCTTCGCAATATGAAGTGGTTCTTTTTGATTGTATTTTCAATTCTTCTGTGATATAGTTGTCATCTAATTCACAATCCATGTTCATTTCTTCTAAATCAGTACAGACTTCCGCCTCTGTTCTGAACGTAGTCTCCATATATCCTTCACCCTCTTCATCACATTCCCGAACCACAATGTAGTCACGAAATGTCACTGTTTTATTGTTAAACCTATTCACAGGCCTTCCGTTGGGCCGCAGTGCCAGATAATTGCGTCTTCGTTCCCTGTTAAAGGTAATTGATGGCAAGTTCACAGATGATGATGGTGGTGGTTCCTCTATTTTGGTGTAGATGCCCTGTTTGCCATAGAAAGGTGAGGTCGAGTAGTCGTACTCGCTGAATGCCTCGTTGTGATGTGAGAACGTTTCCTCCACTAAGGGCATCGGGCGGCTGTGTTTCACCTGTCACAGAAAAACTGTGTTTACAATTGCTTCTCTGAAAACCCATTTCGGTAACACTTTATTTTAAGGTGCTTGTAATAAGATTCAAAGATTCAAAGATTCAAAGGTTTTTATTTGTCACATACTCATACAAGATGTGCAGTGAAATGTTTTTGTGACGTACTGTACTTCTGTGCTCAATTGAAGTAGAAAATAAAAATACAATAAAAACACAATAGATACAATACAATAAAGTTTTAGCGGAAGTTATAATTAAGTTACTATTAAATGATAATTAAATTATGCTTATGACTATTTTACATGTGCAATAGTAATGCAGTCAGTGTGCAATGGTTAGAAATAAAGATTCATATTTTGTCTATAAATTAAAACTAGACAGGCAAATGTACAAATGTTAAAATTGAGTGACTGGGTTAAAAATGTTGAAAGTGTATTCGAAATTAAAAAGTGTTCAGAGTGCAGAGTTCAAGGCTCTGATTGCCGCAGGGAAAAAACTGTTCCTCATCCTCTCTGTACGTGTTTTATGGCAGCGATTAACAGTAATTAACAGTTAATAAGACACTTATAAGACCTTATAAGATGCATATAAGATGCATATAAGCATTAACTACTTCATATAAGGGTTAATTAAAGGTCCAGGCCCTAAAGAGATCAGGGAAACTGCTCCCTCTTGGGAAGGTCGATTTTTAAGTGACTGGGAGTTTGTGTTACCATTTATGTTTGTCCGGCTGTTCTAAAAGTGCAATGTATTGATACTTGAGAAATTTATTATTTCATTTAATTTATTTATTATCATTAGTTAATGCTTATATGCATCTTATATGCATCTTATAAGGTCTTATAAGTGTCTTATTAACTGTTAATTACTGCTTATTACAAGCACCTTAAAATAAAGTGTTACCCACATTTCTAATGTTTAAAAGCACAAATGCACAAGAGTTACTATGGGAAATTTGAAGGTGCACAGTAATATTGTCCTATATATATAGTAATATAGTAATATTATTTATATTTATACACTACTCTACACTTTGATTTTATAACTCTGCCTCATAGAACTGCTTTATCACACCAGTTTAATAACAAAACGTCAATATACTCTTTAAGAAACCATTGTATTTCCACTTTCATCTCTTTATGAAATGAAAAATACTGTACAATGAGGTTCACTAAGGGGGAAAAAAGTGACATTAACTCACCATCTGGAACCATCTCAGACTCTAGACATGAAATATTAGGAAATGCAAAAAGATTCACTTTGAGACTTGTTTATAAATGTACAAAATAAATCTTGAAATGTTCCATTTGTTTATTATCAAGGTGTGTCATTCAAAAGTTTGGGGTAAGCAAGACTTTTTAAAAAATAAATTATTACTTTTAAGTGTCAAAAGTATTACAGTGAAGACATAATGTTACAGAAGATTTCAATTGCAAATAAATGCAGTTTTTTATATAAAAAAATCCAGAAAAAATAGATCATGTTTTCCACAAAAATATTAAGCAGCACAACCGTTTTCAACATAATAAGACATGTTTCTTGAGCACTAAATCAGCATATTAGAATGATTTCTGAAGGATTATGTGACACCGAAGACTGGAGTAATGATGCTGAAAATCTTTGCTTTGCATCAAAGGAATAAATTACATTTTAAAATGCATTAAAAATAAAAAGCAGACATTTAATATTGTAATAATATTTTGCAATATTTCTATAGTTTTTCTTTTTCTTTTAAAAGTTTACTGACCCCAGATTTGTGAACGGCAGTGTAAGAATTTGGAAGTAAAAGTAGTTACACTGCTCTGTTTCTTATGTATTTTGTATAATACGTTTGGAACAAATGGACATTTTCAGCACATATGCACAGTTTAACATGTCCTTTGTCCATGTTGTACAAGTTACATGAATAGATTTTGTCTTACCACGTTAGGGTCGCTACTGTCAGCCACATTGGTCCGGATGGCATGATCCCGCTTCTCTCTGCTCATCCGAATGCAGCGCACCAGTGTAAATAAGGCAATGGCCAGCAGGATCAGACACACCCCTGCCACGCCCTCTGCCCTGCCCACTGTCTCACTGCTATACAGGTGCCCTGCCCCCAAAGGACCCTGTGGAACTTATATAATGCATTTACTGTTTATTATTTATTATTTTATGTTGTTGCAAGTTTTGCACAGACAAACCACACCCACTTTTAGTTTGCTCACAATGTATGTATGCCTAAGGATCTTTATTTCATATATGTGTATATTCCCGATTAAGATAAGAATCGTCTCGGTTACGTATGTAACCCTCGTTCCTTGAAGGAGGGAACGGAGACGTAGTCGACTGATTGGGATCACGCTTAGAGAGCCTGTCATCTTCGAGTACTATTAAAACGAGCCAATGTAATTGGTGTGCGTGAAATGCATTACACACTCCGGACCCGCGGCGCGGGTATAAATACGGAAGTGGATGCACGCACTAGTTGTTTTTCGCTTCGGAGCCGAGGGTAACTCGGAGTCAGCGGGGGTCCAGCAATAGTGGCGACGGGACTACGTCTCCGTTCCCTTCTTCAGGTAACGAGGGTTACATACGTAACCGAGACGTTCCCTTTCAGTCGCTCACGTTCGACGTAGTCGACTGATTGGAATCCCAATTAAAACGCCATCTAGTGCTGCCACCTTCCAGTGCCTAGACAAAAGCCTCCAGATCCCCCCGCAATTAAGGCGGGGAAGGGACAGGGCTTAGGCCAGGGAAGTCACTGCTGTTCCTACAGGACCACTGGGAAAGCGTTCCCTGAACATGGAAGGAAGGGACGCTGCGGAAGCCACATCCTGCCCGAAGGGAGGTAACATGTGGAGAATACACATATGAACTGGGCGGATGACCGGGCAGTACAACATATGGAATGTCACTGGGGTGGCTCCAGCCTATGATAGGGGGGAGACTCAACCGAACAGTGACGGCAGAGCAGGCTCTGCCAAGGGAAGACACGGGCTCGCCGCAGGGAGCCGTACCGTGGAAGAATACACATATGGGATCGCCATAGGGATCACAGCATATGGACCCAGCCTAACACAGGTTCCACCAGTGCATACGAGTGATAGGCCTGGCTTCGGACGTTCCACCATGTCCGTTGCCGAAGGGTATGGAGGAACTCGACAGGGTTCGGCTAAAAAGGGGAACTGAACTGGAGCAAGAATTGCGCACGTATCCAGTCCATAGGGGGGGAATGGCGCAGCAAGCCGACACAACGAACCGGGCTTACAGTGAAACTGGCTTCATGTGAAGGGAGCCCACAGGAAGCAGCGGTTCGACTAAGGTGTCGCCCCGCCCTCAACTCTAGAATATCTGTCAGCGAAGCACTCTGTGTCAATGCCTAAGCGGGAGCACACACTCATTTAAAAGGAGCTCCCCACCTAAGTGGACATGTGCATCTCAGGAAATTCACCAAGATGAAGGCAGCCACTTTCAGTGGGCCAACCTCGCTTGGAAACAGCCTTCCCTCTCTGCTGATTTCCTTAACAGATAAAAGCTGGTCTGAGGTCCTAAGGCTTGCGTTCTGTGCACGTAAAATCGCAATGAAGCGGACGGCCAGAGAAAGCCAGGGCTGGGTCTGCCTCCTCCAGGCAGCGCTTGCAGGCTCACCACCTGGTCCCAGTTTAAGGGAGAGGTAGGAACCTTGGGCACATATCCAGGCCGGGGTCTCAGCTCGTGAGAGATAGCCGGCCTGAATTCTAGGCACAAGTTGTTGACTGAAAGCGAGCAAGTCCCTACCCTCTAGGAGAGACCATGCGAGCAGGAGAACTGTTTAAAAACAGAATTTTTAACTCACTGTCTGCAGTGGCTCAGGGGCGGTCTCTGTATTGCAGTAGCACCAGAGATGGGCCCAAGAGGATAAAGAGGGGCGCAGGGATGACCCTTGCTCCCTCAAGAACCTGACGATCAGGACGTGCTTCCCATTCTTCTGCATATGATGTTTGTATCATATTGAGGGTGAAGGAACAGCCTACTCCAACCCAACTTGCAGGAAAGAGAGCTCTGAAATGACCGAACGCTCTCAGGATCTCCTCACGGAGAGAAGACTCAATCAACTAATAGGTTCCACTTCTAACTAGCGAAGCACAAATGCCTTATCTTAAGGGGGTGCTTGCAGAAGTGATGGTCACTACCTCATATCCTTGTGATAGCGACCTGAACCTCCCCGTCCAGTTCTTTGAACGCGGGTGCCATCATGCCCCGTCCCTGAAATGTATTCAGGGGAAGTCAGGAAGGCTGTCGAGGGAACTAGATCTGGTTGGGCCAAAAAGGGGCAACTATCAAGACCTGTTCCACTCCTGACTTAGCACAGTAGGTGCAAGCGACATGCACGCACAAGACAGGAGCACTGCTCAACACTAGATGTGATAATTCACTAAGCTTCAGGAGCATTTCTGCTCAACACCTGAGTGTGATGAAATTCACTGAGCTTCAGGAGCATTTCTGCTCAACACCTGAGTGTGATGAACATCACTGAACTTGAGCAGCGCCAAGCGATAATGAATCGCATAGCCGCTTTCTTAGAAGGCTCACTGGGGAACGCGTTTCTGCGGGGCCCCGGGGTCAGCTGAGAGCCAGTGTCTATCCAAGGGATGTCCGCTCAGACAGAAACACAACTGGCAGAGGGGCGAGTCCGGAGGGGCAACAGATGTAACTGTGTGGCCCCGAAGTGGTCCCTGCCCAGCTGGACCGTCAGGGGATTGGAGTCTCCACTCTCCCTGGCCATAGCTGTCGTGAGGCTCGTTGGCGGCCGAGTCACCCGTGTTGCTCTTTCAGGAAATAGGACCCATCACCAGTGCCGGAGCACACAGGGGAATGACCGCGGCAACACTGAACAGTGAACTGAAACAGTGAAGCACTCACTTTTCTGCCCTCTAACCAGCCGTCAACACACAAACCTTAAGAAATTTGTTGCTGTTAAAACAGTAGTGAGAGCTCAAAGCTTGCGATCACCGCTGCACTCGCGCTGTAGAAACCACCAGCACTGGGAGAGTTTTCCAGAAGAACACCGACACACTCGCTCGTTGTAAACAACAGCACTCTTCAGAGACATCAAACAATCGGCTCTGAAGCGAAAGACAGCTAGTGCGTGCATCCACTTCCGTATTTATACCCGCGCCACGGGGGCGGAGTGTGTAATGCATTTCACGCACGCCAATTACATTGGCTCGTTTTAATAGTACTTGAAGATGACAGGCTCTCTAAGCGTGATCCCAATCAGTCGACACGTCGACTACGACGATCGTGAGCAACTGAAAGGGAACCAGAGTTTTCTAGAAGATTTTCAAGTACCTGGTTGGCCTTTCTGAAGAACTTCCACATGTAATGCAGCTTTAACAGAGTCTCCTGATTCCAGGTCAGTGGCTAGGACCTGCAACACAGTTGCCAATTGTCATTTTCTAGAATAAGAAGTAGTAGAATGCTGTTCAGATTTTGCTTATGAATGTAGTCTACTGTAGATGTCATACCTCTAGGAAGTATTTGTGGCTGGGGTGTAGTCGGTTGGTTTTAGCAATGAGCAGTCCCTCTTGTGTAATGTAAAAAAGCCGAGAGCTGTTGTGTTGAGAGTTTAGAGAATACTGCAGTCTGGGATTGAAGCCCTTTAACCCACAAACATAAAGCAAACTCAGTTTCTTAGGCTTAAACAGGAACATGAACCCATATTTCATGCAATGAATGTCAAACCAGGGCCTTTGTGATGTTGAAATTGGATGTTGACTTTGGGGTGTTACAGCTGTGTGGTTTTAAGGATTGTATGTGGTCTTGTAAGTGTTGTGATCTTGTTGAGTCACGTACATCGGAGAAGTCTTTATCCGTGACCTCCAGGATAAGTAATTTGTTGCCGTACGTCATGACAAGCGAGGCAGGACTTGTGCTCTCACTGATAAAGCCACGGTACGCTGAACGGTTGAACTGGGGCGGAAACTTGTTTCCTGCAAGAACCCTCACCAGAACCGTGGCTACTGCATACTTCAGAGGGTCATCCGTCTGAGCTGCCTGAGCAGAAACATCGCAATGCTTTCAAAATGCAATAAGGAAAACAACACTTCTTAAAAAATATATATATAATATATATATATATATACAGTATATATATATAAATAAATAAATAAAATATATATATATATATTCAAAGATAAATCATATATTATTTTTAAATATACTAAAACAAATGATATAACTTTTTAAAAATTGTATTCTTTACTCTCAGACGCACCATAACACGCAGTCTCAGTGTCGGGATCAGCAGTCTGTTCTCCACGCGTCTGGTTAACTTCACTTCTCCAGAACTACTGTCAATGACAAATCTGCCCTTATCTGCCCCTGTATTAAAGCACACACACACAGATATATATATATATAAAATAAAAAATATATTTTGGTTTAGTTTAGATAGGTTCAATGGCAGAGGATAATCACCTGACAGGATGGAGTACTTTACTGGTGTTCTGAGACCCTTATCGCCATCCAAAGCTTGAATCGGACCAGGATAGAAATCCAAGACAATGTCCTGAGTGACAAATAATCAGACGATAGAAGGAATCACATACATGTACACTTTTTTTTTTAGGTTTAAACTGATCAACAGTGAAAGTAAAGACCTTTACATTAACAAACAAATTATTTGCAATATAAATGCTGTTCTTTTTAGCTTTATACTCATCGAAAAATCCTGAAATAATGTATTAGGTTTTCACAAAAAGATTAGGTAGCACAACTGTTGTCAACATTGATAATAATAAGAAATGTTTCTTGAGCAGCAAATCAGCATATTAGAATGATTTCTGAAGGATCATGTGACACTGAAGACTGGAGTAATGATGCTGAAAATTCAGTATTGCATCACAAAACAATATATATATATTTTTTTTTTATTTCTGTGATCAAATTATTGCATACTTGTTGAGCATGATAATAGACTTAAAAAAAACTCAAACATTTGAATTGTAATAGGTTATAGTTCAGACATTGAGATTGTTTGGTATTGTAGCTAAAAATTGTCAAATTAATATACCTCATGTTTATAGAAAAAAAAATTTATTGTTTGTTTTATACATTCACAGGGAATACCTGCTCGTTCTCTGTGATATTGGCGGTGTACAGGGGGTTGGCACATATGCGTTTGCTGTGATTGGCTGAGAGAAGAGTGCAAGGCTGGAATTGTGGGTATTGGTCGTCCCCATCTGTCACATTGATGATTACTGTTGCTGTTGTGTTGTAGTGCTCATTTGTGTTAGTCTCCTAAAGCCACATGAACATATGAGTAAATGTTATTTTTCACCCATATTTTTTATCATTACCAAACAAGTATTTTCTGTGTGTACTTTACCACTGCAGAAATAGTCAGTCGGAGCTGAGTTTTGATCTCGTAGTCCAATGACTTGTTGAGAATCACTTTGCCACTGTTGGGCAAGTCCACTCGAAAATACAGGGCATCTGGCTGGAAATATATGATCAAATGTCCACATATGATTATCAAGTAGCCAATTTGATTCATCATCACCAACCAAATTTAAGTCAGATGAGACTAAAGTATAGGACTAGCAGAAGATTTCTACTGTGGGTTTGTAGATCTGAAGAGGAGTTTGGTTCACCTACTGATGTTTCATCAATGATGTATGTGAGCGTGTCTCCATCAGCATCTGTAGCCTGGACTGTAAACGCTACAGAGTTCACCGCTGTCAACTGAACATACACACATCAAACAAGAAGATCTCACGAATGGAGTGTATATATATATATATACACATATACAAAATATATAGACAAAAGTTTGGGCTCGGTAAGAAGAAAGAAGTCTCTTATGCTCACCAAGGCTGCATTGTATTGATTAGAAATACAGCAAAAGCATAATAAAGTGAAATATTATTACAATTAAAAAAGAAAAAGAAAATTCTATTTGAATTTATTTTAAAATGCAATGTATTCCTGTGATGGGAAAGGCGAATTTTCATCAGCCATTACTCCAGTCTTCAGTGTCACATGATCCGTTAGAAATCATCCTGATTTGCTATTATTATTATCAATGTTGAAAATGCTTAATATAATTTTAATAATATTTTTGTGGAAACTGTGATACTTTTTGTCAGGATTCTTTGATGAATAGAAAGTTCAAAATAACTTTTGTAACATTTAAAATTCTTTACTGTCTCTTTTGATCAATTAAATGCATTCTTGCTGAATTATAAAAAAATAAATCTTACTGAGCCCAAACTTTTGAGGGGTAGTGTATGTCAACGCATGAAAGAAAACATGTGTTGTTTTGGTTATTTTTGTGTCTTTTACCTCGCTGAGCTGCAGAGTTTGTATGGAGCTTTGCAGGAATTCAGGTTTGTTGTCATTCTCGTCCAGAACCTCTACCATGATCCTGTGTTCAGCCTGATAACAACATTTGACTTTTATTTGATGTGTAAATTATATAGCTAAATCCAATTTTTTAAGAGGATGCTTCTGTATGTCACAGATAATTGAACTTACCTGTAGGGTTTTATGTTTGTAACACCTTACAGTTGCTGTTAAAACGGAGCCGTGTATCTGTAATATCATCATAGTCAGATGACATTTTTTAAACAAGACAGAAGATGATAGTGTGATCGTTTTTTTCATGTTACCTCACGGTCAATAATTCTAGTTGACGTCGAGTTCAGTCTGACAGTTCTTCCCTCCAGATAAAACCAACCAGCATCTTTTCCAGAAACCTTTAAGTGCATGTGATTGGCTGATGGGTGTGCAGTGAATCCAAGATTGGCAATAAATGTTCCCATCAGGCTGTTCTCTTTGACTGTGGCAAACACGTCATGACCACCGTCACATTCACTGGCTGACAAAAAAGAAACACATAACATTGATTTGAACAACATTTTCCTTATATTTCTAATTGCTGTCTGCTCTAATGTAAAATTTTGCTTGTTTTTCATGTCTGGGTGATAGTAAATTAATAGTAAATAAGTAAATTAGTTTGTCAACTTCTAGTCAGGTCAAGTAGCCTTTAATTATAGCACTTACTAAAATACAGATTGTTTCAAAGCAGCTTTACAGTGCTAAACAGGAAAATAATGATCAATGATGCAAACAGAATTCAATTCCGCTGTAAATTAGCCTAAAAAAAGACAATCGAGTCATTATTCAGAGGAAGTCAGTTCAGTGTTGATTAAATTCAGTTCAATAACTGTCGAAATTCGTCAATTATGAGGTCGAATCAGCTATATAGCACCTTCAGAAAACAGCGATGTCATCATCCAACTCAATTCAGTTCAAGGTTTGTTCTCATGTCAGCTCAATAATATTACAAAATATTAAGTTAAAACTTCTGACAATTCTTAGAATAGTTTGATGGATTACAACAAGCCTGTTGATCAGCACTGACGGATTATCCTGACTGGATTGGCCAGTGAGTTGTTCTTAATTTTTCATGGCACACAGATTAAAATTCCATCCTATTTCTCTGCTCAAACAGTCAAAATTCCTTGTGTCCGCCTGCTGTAGTCAATATTTAGCATGTTGTTGCATGTGAAGTCGGTTGAGAGAGAGAGAGAGAGAGAGAGAGAGAGAGAGAGAGAGAGAGAGAGAGAGAGAGAGAGAGAGAGAGAGAGAGAGAGAGAGAGAGAGAGAGAGAGAGAGAGAGAGAGAGAGAGAGAGAGTTTTTCCATGTGATTTGTCTCTGTTTGTGTTTATACCAATTACAGAATGCCGGCTGACCACAGAATAAAGGTAGCAGAATATTAGAATCTTCCACAGTGGCTGTTGACTGAAGATCAACCTCAAAAACATTTCTCACTGCAGGGATAAAAAAAACAATTATGTTAAAAATGTCTGTTAAAGTGTAGAACATTACTGAAAGCTCAACAATTAATTGTCATGCCATTGTTTGTATTAGTACATTACTATACCATCATAATACAGCTCATTATAAATTGGCTAATTTAGCTCAAGGGAAACAGATGCTGGTTGAATGTAGCTAAAAAGGCTGGAAATGTATTATTGCTTTCATGTTTAGGAAATCCAGCATGGAGTAACATGACCTGTAAATGTATGACCTAATAAAGACTTTCAGCAAACAGCCCTGCTCTTGTTTAAGACTTATAAATCTCCTAAGGAGGTTTTCAGCAGACAGTTAAGCCTTCTTACGTGGAAACACACTCTTGCTTACACACGTATTCAAGCTGTGTTAAACAATTATCATTCAAGTAATCAAGAACACATTTAATTATGCTGTACATTGTTCAATACAATGTTCCAAACAAGTAAAGTTGAATACTTACATTTTAATATGTAGTACAATATCCTTTTGGTAGAAGATTTTTTTAATGTTTATATTATTTTAAATAGATTCATTATTATTATTATGAAAACATTTGCTACTATTTAACAACTATATTGATTCTTTATTAGCTTTGAAATAAATAGATATGAATGAATACATTAACTCCTCAAATTTATATTCCAGCATTTGACTTACTTTGTAACTTTACTTGTTTTTAGCAACAAAAGATCATTAAAAGTTAAATCAATTTAGTCATATGTTCATTATATTTATTACTATTATTATTATTATTGTAATTCTGTAATGTCCATTGTGGAATTTTGTATTTTGTTTTATGTGACCGTATAGTATTGTGGATGGTTAGGGATTGAGGATTTATAAGTAATAATTGTGAATGAATACTGTCACGCAAGAAAAAATTCGGACTTTCTCTGACAATAAGGTTATTTCATCATCATCATCATCATCATTAGAGTTCGACGAAGTAGTCTATCTCCACCATTTTGTTAATGTGAAGACAAACAATCATGCTATGATACGAGCGGTAAACATGCCCACTGAGAAACAAGACAGATCATCTAAAGAGGTTTGGTTTGCCTCAAGTTATACAAGACTATTACACAAGTTGATGAAGCATCTATCTCTCTCTCTTATACAGAAGAAAAGACAAGCCAAAAATAGACTTCAGGGCTGTTTTAGTATTGTAGTAGCCTATTAGAGAATAAGAAAAGATAGCATGTTGACCTACCTGTCCCATCTAACTGTTCTTCAGCTCCAGATGTCCAGATATTATCTCCAAAGTTACGTTATTACCATCCTTTATTTGGATATGAGTGTATAAAAGAGAGTTCGAGTTTTGTTTGTGTGTTACTTGCATGTAAGAGTCCACCTCATGTCTGTGTTTGGAGCAGTTGGAGAACAGTGGATAAGTCTGAGGTTTAGTCTTCAAACTCACTGGATCAGAGCCAACGCCAAGGTAAGAGGTCAAGTCAAATGCCACAGCTAGGTCGTTAGACCATCATCATAGGTCTAACCAATAGCAACGCTTCTCTCCTGGCCAATGAAATAACAGTATTCTAAGAGGGCAAATAACCTCTGAGCAAAACCACATCATAACCAATAGAGATAGTGTATATAATCAAACAAATTCAGTGGGCTACAAAAGTCTGAGATCACACTGAAAACTGTGGATACAAAATCTGGAAATTAACAGAAACCAAGAAGATTTAGATTTTTTTTTTTTTTTTTTATATAATTTGTTTTGCTGCACTATTTTTTTTCTCTCTTATCAAATAATCAAACACATTTGAAATTCATCTTCATTTTTCAATTAAACTTTTCCTCAATTTGTTATGCTTATAATTTGGAAAACAAAACTTCTCTGACTTTTAATTGTTTATCTAGGTAGGTAGGTAGGTAGGCAGGCAGGCAGACAGACAGACAGATAGATAGATAGATAGATAGATAGATAGATAGATAGATAGATAGATAGATAGATAGATAGATAGATAGATAGATAGATAGATAGATAGATAGATAGATAGATAGATAGATAGATAGATAGATAGATAGATAGATAGATAGATAGATAGATAGATAGATAGATAGATAGATAGATAGATAGATAGATTGATTGATTGATTGATTGATTGATTTTAGTTTATGTATGTCACATTCAAAGCAAAAATGTTATGAGATGTTTTCTCCTGATGATCCTGATGGTAAAGTGTAACAGCATGTGTCTTGTGTGGTAATCTGGGCTATTCCTGTCACGTCCTAGTGTACTTTATATGCTTTAACAAACCCTGACAGAGGAGCACAGCACACACACACACATACACACTAATAGAGTTGATTAGGAAGCACACTGTAATTAAGACAGATAGAGATTAGGAGGCTGAAATAGTGTCCTCGCTTTAACCAATAAGAAATCAGAAACAAAGGTCATCTGAGTGTTCTTTTACACATGATGAAACTAAAGGTGGAATAGGCTATACTACACGACTTTTAAAATCTGAGCAAAAGTCGTGCAGTGTATCCCAGCCTTAATTCAGATTTACACACACAAACACCTAAGTCTCCATGTTTTTTTTTTTTTTTTTTAATTGAAGGTTAAATTGAGGATGGGAAAGATAAAAAAAAAGTGTAAGTAACGGACCAATCAACTCATAGCCTATACATTCAAGATTTCACTAGAAGAAAAAAAATGTGTTAGTTTAGGGCGGCTATATAAATTCTTACAATGTACTATAATAGTACTTTTTGTCCGTTATGACCACTATACAGCCAGTGTAAGGGTATAGAGTCTTATTAATTTATTAGTTCAAATTCATAAAACCCCATATATTGATTTATTATTGCCTTTATGATTTAGTATATTTACATAATTCATATTTGCTCATTTTTGAATGCACGCGATCTGTTAAGCATAATGTTTGTATAATTGATTATTGTGCATTATGTGTTATGTGTTAATGAAACTGCTTTGTGAGGACTTCAAGCGCTCGAGCAGTCCGGAAATCCGGGAAATGTTCAAATGAAAGTCTGCAGATTTTGTCCATTGGCTGCAGAGGAGGAGGATCAGGGTTAGAGGAGCAGAGTCTACAGCGGCTGTCACATTTACAGCCTTTATTTCAATCGCGGAGGAGGGAAAACAACGAAGCTTTGCATTGTTTTGTTTGGAAGCGACAGGAAAGCAGCTAAACCCCCCAGCTAAACAGCCGAAAACAAGTCCAGATGTTTCAAATCTGAGGGTCGCTGTCATACGAGACCATATACCAGAGGACTCTTCAAGCTCTTCATCCGACATCTCGCCTCATATATATTTAGATATAGCCTATATATTTTTGGGGGGGAAATGTGTAATATATTTAGATAGTTATAATCATTTTTTCTACTCTTGAGTAAGGAAAACGGTATTTTTTTTCTTCCTGGCGACTTTGTGAGAACTAAACTGATCTGACTGGTGAGAATGGGGCTGAAGTCTGTAGTTGGAGATCTTGTCTGGACTTTGTTTTTTCTCTGGAATGTTTGTGACTGTGTTCAAACTCATCAGGACGCTAATACCGGTGAGAGCAGCTGTCAATCAAACACATGATACATTGTTTCATCGATCTGTGCCGCAGCTGTATTGAATCACTGATGCGCTGTAGTTGAGGAACCAGTGATGGATGAGTGAGTTGTGTCTTTCTATTGACATGTCCACGCTTTAATCCAGTGCAGGACATGCCTACAGACAGACAATATAATAATTATTATATTTGCAGTGTTATGACCTTTGTGAGGTTAATCTAGACTACATGGAATATTTATACTTAAAATAAATTACCTGTCCCCACAGGACTGTTTAAGTGAACTGCAGAAAAGTTTAATAAAAGTTATTATAAAAAAAATATTATAGTGAAAAACAGGAAAGATAAATGTGATGCATTAACAGGTGTTGGATCACCTATATAAACATTTATAAAAATGACTGTTAAAGATAGCCTATGCATAAATTCATAACTAAAACATCCATGTTGAATAAGTGAATAAAGACATTATTTTGTATCTTTTTGAAAATGTGGGAACATCTCCAAATTGACTGTTTTCCCTACTATAGCTATACTATTGACTGCTAATATGTTTTGCATTAGAACAATAACTTAAAAAGTTGCAAAATTTCTTAATTGTTAACTTTATAATTATTACAGACTAACCCTACACTGAAAAAAACAATAAGTAAAATTTACTTAATTTTACTTTGGCAAGTTTTTGGACGAATATTTTTAAGTAGATTTCACACGCATATTTTAAAGTAAATGTCACATATGAAATTAAATAAACTCTATTAACTAAGTTAAGTGAAAGTAACAAAGGAAATAAGTCATTTTAACTTGGCTAGTAAAAGGTTGAGTAAGATCTATTTAGTTGAAGTTTCCTTTGCAAAAAATTTCACTTAAAAAATATAACATTGAACCTATTAAACCACACTTTTAAAGTAAATGCTTCACTTAAAAACATCAAAGTAATCAATACAATAGATATTCTACATATTAAGAGATACTATATGTGAACGCAGAGACCTCAATACTTGGTAGACAATACACAATGACGGTAACATTTGATGGACCGTTTTTGTGTTTGAATGTGTCATTTTGAGTGGAAAATGAACTCCAAATGTCACAAAATGGCAAGTTACAAACCCTAACAACAAAAGCAATGATGAAACAGTAAATACAGCTGGAAAACAGTGAAAAATCAGCCTTATTAATTATTCAAGGCCCAGTGCATGATGGGGACACCAGTATCAGAAAAGTTGAGTAATTTTACTTAATTTAATAACGTTGTTTTACCCTTTCATTTCTACACGCTTGAATTGAGTACTAATATAGAATTTACTTTGTTTTTTAAATTCTTGTCTGAACTAACTTTTTCATATAAATTACATTGTTTTTTTCGGTAGTGTTTACTTCACCACAAAATCATTTTTTTATCAGTGTAGACCTAAATGAAAACATTTTGCAATAGGATAAAAGCTATTTTGAGAATGTCCCAAAATGGATTTTGATTCTCATTTTAGATTTAGCTATCTTCAGCCGGACATGTTTTTCTCAAACCATTCTAAAAACAAACTCAAGCACTTCCCTCTCTGTTGACTGTTATCGCTGTCTGTTAGCCTCTATATCTGACGGTTTGTGATTTCTGCCCAGTGCAGGTATGTTTCTGCTTGCCTTCTGAGAAATTTTTTTTTTTTTTTTTTTTCAAAAGACCCTCACCACTTCACATAATCTGCCTTCTTCCTTGTCTCTCTGTTTCTGTCTGGCTTTTTAAGTTCATGTCTCTTATCTTTTCAGTCTGATTTCATACAGAAATACCTGAGATACAGATTGAGATGGTGTGTGCGTACGTGTGTGCGTGCGTGCGCGCGCGTGTGTGTGTAGAGCTGCTTTGTCCTCAGGGAAGTTTGGAACAGTAAAGATCTGACAAGGAAAAGGAAGTCATTAAGAGCATTTTCCTCACTTGCCATCATTGCTCCGCAGGGTTTTTTCCCCTACATCTCACTATTTTTTTTTATGGTTTATTTATAATTTTTATGATACATTCAGGGTGCAACGAAAATAAGTTAATAAACAAATAAATAAACAGGTATAAATAGGTAATAATAATGATAATAACACAAAACAACAACACCACAAAAAAATTAAATAAAATAAAAGACATGACAAAAAGTAAAAATGGAAGTAGTAAATAGATATAAATACATTCTCATCAGCAGCTAACAATGGAAAACTGAGAAGTAAGACAGACAAAACAGTAGTGCACTTAAAACTGAATTCTAATATCAATGTAAAACGAAAAATACTAGTTGAATGAAAAGGGTTAATCAGACAAATTAAGAGATTGATGAGTTTGTACGTATACTAAGAAGGATTTTAGAGAATCATGTACTGGGTCGGTGAAGAGAAAATCAGATTTTTTCTAGTTTGATAAAATACAAGGCGTCTTTAATCCACCTAGAGTGTGATGGGGGATGGGAGTTTTTCCAGTTAAGCTAAATTTGTCGTGAGAAAAGCAATAAAATCAGCAAAATACATCTCACTATTTATTTACATACTTATAAACTGTTATAAATCTTTTCATATTCTACTGTTTCATCTGTATGATGCCGATACACTGCGATTTAAAAATGTGGGATAGTTTCGATTTTTCTCTCTGATGCTCATCAAGACTTTACTTTTAAAAACAGTAATTATATTTTAAAATGTAATTTATTAGAATGGTTGCCTTATAATATTTATTAGCATACAAGAATAATTTCTGAAGGATCATGTGACACTGAAGACTGCTAAAAATTCATCTGTCATCACAGAAAAGAATTACATTTTAAAATATATTAAAATGGAAAACAGTTATTTTAATTTAAATAATATTTTACAATATCACTGTTTTTACTGTATTTTTAATCAAACAAATGCAGCCTTGGTAAGCATAAAAGACTTATTTAAAAAAAAACATTAAACAAATCTTATTAATCTTAAAAAATTATTAATTTTTTTTGACTGGTAGTAAATTAAACAAATGAGATATTTTAATCGGTCAGGACTGAACAAGAACACCCTTACGAAAAGTACTATGTAGGTATGGTGGTACTCTATGATATACTGTAGTAATACCATGGTACCTTGATATTCCATGGTTCTGAATGATTACTAGTCATGAAGCATGTGGCTTTTTAATGTCATCATAATGCTGATGCCATTCTTCATGTCATTATTTTCCTCCATTAGTAATCAACCTCTTGAAGGCTCTAAACGTCACTCACTCTCACCGGGTGGCGTCTAAGGCCAAAGGTCGTGACCCAGAGATGCCAGCCTGGCGTTTCCGTTCCCGCACGCCTCATCTCACGCTACCCCAGGACTTTTCCGACTACCTCTTTAGCACTTCACAGGGCGTCCTGGGTTTCCACCTGGTGGGTCGGCAAACCAGAGGCTCGGAGGCCACTCTCATCTCCCTCACCTCCCCTGCCCAGCAGCAGCATGACGGACGCCCCCTGCTGGAGCTGGTCTCCAACACCCGAGCAGACTGGCTGCAGCTGGAGGTCAGGTCAGCGGACGTCCTACGGCCAGAGGTGATCAAGCTGCCAGGCGGGAGTCCCTTCACAGTTGGTTGGGTGAGGATGGCTCTGAGTGTGGAGCCCAGACAGGTGGTGCTGTTTGTGGAATGCGAGGAGGCCTTGGTGCTCAAACAGAAAGAAGGTGGACGAATCCTGACTCTAGACTTCCCCCACGATCTGAAGGTCACGTTCTCCAGCACTGCAGGAAATAAGGCCAGCAAGTTCAGCGTGAGTTTATTGACACAAACACTTACAGTATGTTCCCTAAAAAAGTGGTTGGTCTGTCAAATCGATTAATTGCGATTAATCGGATCTAACAAAAACGTTTGTAAATATATATATTTACAATACAGTCAGTATATATATATATATATATATACACATATGTATATACAGTGCTTAACACATTTTTTAGACCACCTGTCATAAAAAAGAGAAAACAGAAATATTTTAGGAATGCGTCCAAAAACTTGTTTAAAACTAAACAATTTATTGTCATTTGTTAGGCAAATAACAAACTGAAACAACTAAATAGTCTTTATTCACACATAATAACTAAAAACCGTAATATTTTGTATGCTGTTCTTTGGCCTCGATAACAGCTTGCATTCTTGCTGGCATTGTTTTTATGTACAGTACTTTTCCATAGTCTCTGTTGTTATTGACTTCCAAATAGTTTCTTGTTGTTCCCAGAGACTAGCTTTTGTAAAATCTATATTTGAATCCACTAAATCCCAAATTTGTTAAATAGGATTCAAGTCTGGACTTTGACTTGGCCAACTGTGACTAAAGAGCTTACACATACTGGTGGATTAACCATTATAGAAACATCAAAACTAATTTTGGTAATCACCAATATTGTTAGTTTAGGGCAGCTGTGGCACAAACCTCACATTGGGTGGTGGTTTGATAAATTTGTGTATATATACATATTTACAAACTTTTATGTTAAATGTGATTAATCGCGGTCAACTGATTTCACAGCACTAGTTTGGAGACTTATGTGAAGCTAAAAATATGAAACTTTCTTCTAACTGGTCCCAAGGTGAATTTTGGTGAACGTATGAAGTCAGTTCTCATCAGATTCACACAGGTGTTTTAACAGAATAACCACAGGTGTAGTTCAGCACATTAATGGACATGTTACAATGACATTTCACAACCACAATGTGTCCAAATTCTTTTTGTCTAAATTATATCAATATATGTTTTATCATTTCTCTTCAGATGTCTGCTTGCCACTAATGCCACTTAGTTTACTATTTTATTATCTAATGCAAAGGCATTCATTTATTTTTTTAAGTGTCCCCTACATATCCAAATATTTTGGGGGCTATCATAAATATTTTTCTAAATTGATAATAAGAGGATTTATTAATAATTGAGAGACAAATCAGCATATTAGAATTGTTTCTTTAAGGATTATGTGACCCTGAAGACTTCAAGAATTCAGCTTTGCATCACAGGAATAAATTACATTTTTAAAAATATTTAAGTTGAAATCAGCTGTTTAAAATTGTAATAATATTTCACAATATTTCTGTATTTTTCTATCAAATAAACGCAGTTTTTTTTAACATATTTATTTAAAAAACATTAAACAATTGTTATTATTCCAAACTTTTGCTTTAAAAAACATGTTGCTCTCAGATGAAACTTGAGAGCATTTAGCATTTAGTTGTCTGTGAGGGCAGTAACATTTTTCCACGATAACAAATATTTCAGGGTTTCCTCAATTTTCTGAATCTTTTTCAAGTATCAGGCGACACCAAGTAGATCTATATGACCTGGAGAAAGCGATTCATTTGCATTCCCATTCTTCTCAATAAAAGTGGTGCAGGACTATTGACATTTAGAAGCCCTCAAAAAAGAATAGGCCACTGGCAAAACATCTGCTATAATATAGTATTAATATTTATGTGTTGCTTGCAACAAATTTGATCAGATAAAGATAAATGGCCTTTTTTAATGTAAGATCCGTTTAACCAGCCGAACACTGACCCTTTGGCTTAAACATTAGAATAATGTAATATTATAATCTACAGTTTGATTATGGTTAATGCTACAGTAACTGTGCTGTCATTGTATTAATGTTAAATGATTTTCACAGCTGTGTTACAGTTAAAGCATTCTTTAGTGGTGATTTTTCTGGTGTGTTGTCATTGCTCATCTGTTTTACAATGTTATGTCATGACTTTGCAATGGGTTGCTATTGTGTTCATGTTCACAGAACTGACACTGACAGTATGTGTTTTTCTTGTTGTTTCAGGGTTTTTGGCAGACTGCTGAACTCTCCACAAGGGCATATGAGAGGCGTCCGTGGTTCTGTGACAATGTAACAGGCATGAAAACAATAATAAAAACATTTAAACATCTGAACTACATATGCACATTCAAAAAACACTCACAACAGGAAACTTTCAGAGCTGCAAATAAAGGTCATACAGGTCCATAAAGATTAGAGGATTAGATTCAGGTTTAGATTTTATAGGATTATATTAGGGGTCCTTTTTGAGTGTTTCTGTGATGCTAATGAATACTCAGGATGAATTTATGCTTCTGCATTATAGAAAAAAAATACTGTAAATAACATGTGTTTGCATTTGCGGTTGTGTGTGATTATTACAGACTCCCTTCCTGACACAGTCCAACCCACCAGTCCCACCGTATCAGCAATCTCAGACCTGGATATGATGAATGACCAGGCAAACCGTGGAGATGAAATAGTATTAAATACAAGATACGACAGTGAATCAGACTTGCGTTTAGGCCAACTGGAGAACAACCTGCATAGCATCAAGACCATGCTGGACATGCTAAAGAAACAGGTACATTGAGAAAGTATTGTGTCTCCACTTAGAAGGTGTACAGGTGTGCTTTTTTAGACAAAAAAGGACTAAGTACCTAGCCTGGGTTTCCCCATACTACCTTGCCGCAGAGCGATTTTATTCACGCTGCTAGGTACCATGGATCAAATTTTCGCCTCATTTTGGGAACCAATCACAGAACGGGGAAGGAGCAGCAAGACGATGAGGCGTCTATGCGACACACCGAAGCAGTTTGTTTATACCTATGGATCCAACATGGCAGCAGGCGCAAAGTTACCTTTTGATGCAGCTTTACGGCTGTTTCACACCGCAAGCGTGAGCGGCACTTGAGCAGCGCGTCAACATTGTCACTGCAGCTGCAGACGCGCGAGAGTATTCACACTGGAAGCGTTTACAGTGTCACAGCAGCGACTCCAAAGCTACATAAGCGAGCAATTCTTTACAAAGACAACTATACATTTGTTTTTAGAAGTTGGTCATTTATAACATTGATAGTCTTGAAAGTTTGTAATGGGGAGGTGTACAACATTCCTATATAAATGTTAAACTACAAAACAACCCAGAAAATGGCTCCAATCTATTAGTTTCAGTCACTTTCGATATGTTTACAAGACTGCAACAAAAAAAAAAGACTAAAAAACAAAAAACACAAATAAACCACACACTCGGGTTTGATTTGGGTTGTGCAGCCTATGTAGCTGTCTGTGTGTTACATAAACTAAAATAACGTTTATATATAATATTTTCTGGCTAGTTTACTTTAGTTTTTTTTTTATAATAATAAACATTTTGACCCAAACTGAATAATTAAAAACAAGTTTTTACCGGGTAGCCTAAGGCCCATGACACACTGGCTGCGTGGCGTAAGCGTCTCAGCTGCGTGGCGTGTCCGTTTTTATTTCGGCTCCCATGTTAACAGATTAGAGCTTGCAGACTGCCTGCATGACACGCGCGTCTCAGGCGCGGCCGCGCGAAAAACGTACTCGGTTACTAACGTAACCTCGGTTCTCTCTAGAGAGGGAACGAGTACTGCGTAATAGCTTACGCTAGGGGAAAAACTCTTTTCCACGAGATATTGAAGCCAAAAATTATCCTTAATTTTTTATTAATGTAAAACGCTTTGCAGCAGCAAGCAGACATAGGCGAAACAGCTCGCGCGCCTATTGGTTGCTCTGCAGCAAATGCAGCAGCCTATCGAGAGAGACTCTGCGTGACGTAATGACCAATGGGGGCAATTCGCGCCCATATCGTCACGTCCCGCCAGAAGGGGCGTGGTCTCGCCCTATAAATATGCTCGTTAGGCTGGTACAAGCTGGTTTTTATCGCTGAAGCGAACCAGAGCGTATTCCAAGCACGGCAAGATACGCAGTACTCGTTCCCTCTCTAGAGAGAACCGAGGTTACGTTAGTAACCGAGTACGTTCTCTTACGAGAGTATCTCTCGTACTGCGTAATAGCTTACGCTAGGGGAACACAATGCAACACGCCGTGCGTACAGGGATCCAACACCAAAGTCCCGGGGGCCGAAGCCCAGGGCTCATGTAGTGCATAATCACCATAAACTCACATAGAGTGGAGGAAGAGAGGCTGGAAGCGTCATTCCCTATAAAAAAGCACCCAGCGGGGCTATCATATGACAATAAAACGCGCAGCCAGGGTAAAAGCTTTCAGCCTGATCTGGGTGGCCATACGTGTGTCAACACTCATGGGGCTGCAGTAAACTCAGCATCTGGGCCGCACAGCGGGGCAGATAGCACTGAATTTTAGACCGCCAAAAGCTTAGCTTGTAAGGCGGGTACCTCCAGGTTATAGTATTTTATAAATGTAGACGGCGAGGCCCAGCCCGCGGCCGTACAGATATCTTGCAGGGAAACCCCGCTCGACCACGCACACAAAGAGGCCACGCCTCTCGTGGAGTGCGCTCTGACACCCAAGGGGCACTGTAGGCCCTTCGCAGAGTAAGCGAGCGCAATGGCATCCACTATCCATCTGGATAGGCTCTGTTTTGAGGCGGCGAGTCCCTTGGAACGCCCGCCACACAAAACAAAAAGCTGCTCCGTCTGTCTGAAAACAGACGAGCGTGACACATAAGCTCTCAATGCCCTGACGGGGCAAAGGAGACTCGCATCCTCCTCCTCACTGAGAACCGGAAGGGCGGACAGGGAAATTACCTGGGCCCTGAACGGTGTATTGAGGGATTTCGGGACATACCCGTGCTTTGGTTTGAGAATGACCTTCGAGTCATTAGGCCCAAACTCCATACACGACGCGCTTACTGAAAGCGCCTGTAAGTCCCCTATGCGCTTCACTGAAGCGAGAGCCATGAGAAACACTGTTTTGAACGACAGGTGTTTCATGTCCACCAGCTGGATTGGCTCGAACGGGGCGCCTTTCATGGCCTCCAGGACCGTGGAAAGGTCCCACGTCGGGACTGAAGGGGGCCTGGGAGGGTTCAGCCTCCGAGCTCCCCTAAGGAAACGCACGACTAAGTCGTTTTTCCCCAGCGACTGGCCAGACACCGATTTTGCAAACGTTGCTATGGCCGCCACATATACTTTGAGCGTGGATGGGGTCCTGCCCTTATCCAGTAGCTCTTGAAGGAAGGAAAGCACTTCCGAAACCCCGCATTCCACAGGTGAAAAGCTCTGGGCTTGACACCAGGCAGAGAAAACAGACCATTTCGAGGAGTAGAGCCGCCTGGTAGACGGAGCTCTAGCCTGCGCGATCGTGTTTAACACTCCTTCTGGGAGGCTAGCGGGTACCCGTTGATGGCCCATGCGTGCAGGGACCACAACTCCGGGCGAGGGTGCCAAATCGAGCCCTCCGCCTGAGAGAGGAGGTCTCTCCTCAATGGTACAGGCCATGGGGCAGTGCTGGTCAGCTGCATCAGGGCAGGGAACCACGTCTGGTTTGTCCAGAGCGGAGCTACGAGCAGCACTGGGCATCCGTTCTCCCTGATTCGTTCCAACACCTGAGGCAGGAGCGAGATAGGAGGAAAAGCATATAGGGGGCAGCGGGGCCAAACATGAGCCAGCGCGTCCTTGCTTTTCGAGAAAAACTCCGGACAATGAGCGTTTTCGTGGGACGCGAATAGGTCCACCTGTGCTCTGCCGAACGTTTTCCACAGCAGCTGGACTATCTGCGGGTGCAGCGACCATTCCCCTGCTGGAACATTGTTCCTGGACAGTCTGTCTGGTCCCACATTCAGGTGACCAGGCACGTGCGCTGCTCTCAGTGAGAGCAGGTTGTGCTGAGCCCAGACCAGGAGGCGTTCCGTCAGCCTGTGAAGGTTTCGTGACCTGACGCCGCCCTGGCGATTTATGTATGCCACCACTGACATGTTGTCCGACCGGACCAAGACGTGGTGGCCTGTTACCTGGGGACAAAAACGCCGTAGCGCTTTGTCGACTGCTATCATCTCCGAGCAGTTTATGTGAAGGAGCTTTTCCCGTTCTGACCACAGGCCAGCTAGCGGTCTGCTCTCGAGCAGCGCTCCCCACCCCGAGGTGGAGGCGTCCGTAGACACCACCTTCACACTCGAAGCGGTCCCCAGACTCACACCTGACTGATACCAGTCGGTTATTTTCCAAGGTTCCAGAGCTGAAACACACTGAAGGTCGACCCTGAGGCGAAACAGACCCGCTGTCCATGCCCTGGGTGGAACCCGCGCTTTCAGCCACATCTGCAGTGGGCGCATGCGGAGCAAGCCCAACTGGAGTACAGAGGCTGCTGAGGCCATCAGCCCCAGCATTTTCTGAAACCTTTTGAGCGGAACTATCGCGCCGTGGCGGAAGGATTTCGCACCGCGCTGAATATTTAGCCCGCGCTCTGGTGACAGGCGTGCTGTCATGGACAGCGAGTCCAACACGGTTCCCAGAAAGGAAATTTTCTGACTGGGAGACAGTGAGCTCTTCGCCCAATTGACTGTGAGGCCCAGCTCCTCGAGGTGCTCGAGTAATGCGGCCCTGTGTTCTATGAGCTCCGATCGTGATCGAGCTAGAATCAGCCAATCGTCCAAGTAGTTCAGGACTCACATGCCCTGAAGTCTCAGGGGTGCGAGCGCCGCGTCCATGCACTTCGTAAATGTACGAGGTGCTAGGGACAGGCCGAACGGCAGGACTGTGTATTGATATGCCTGGCCCTCGAAAGCGAATCTCAAGAATCGCCTGTGATAGGACGCCATTTGTATTTTGAAATAGGCGTCTTTCAGATCTATTGACATAAACCAGTCCCCGTGGCGCACTTGCGCAAGGATTTTCCTGGTCGTAAGCATTCTGAACTGGCGCTTCACAAGCGCTCTGTTCAGCTGTCGCAGATCTAAAATGGGTCTGAGACCTCCATCTTTTTTCGGTACCAGAAAATATCTGCTGTGTAGGCCCCCTTTGCTCTGAGCTTGAGATAAAGGTTCTATAGCACCTTTGCTCAGTAGTTTCGCTATCTCGGCTCGAAGTAGATGAGATACTTCGTTTTCCACCGTCGTCTCGACGCGCGCCGTATAACGGCGGGGACGTCGAGCGAACTGTAGCGAATAGCCTCTATTTATAGTGTTCAGCACCCATTCTGATACCCCAGGAAGCTGTGCCCACACTTTCGCGTGAATAGCTAGGGGTAGAATGAGATCTGGGCTCTGGCCGAGACATAGTGACGGCAAGAGAGCTCCGGCGTGCTGTAACGCAGACACTGTGTTTACAGTGTGTGAGGCGGGGGGCGCGCCGATCGCGGCGGGCAGCCTGGCCGCGCTCAAAACCCTTATAGCAGTTTGCTGAGGGAGAGAGAGCGGGGCGAGCCCCGTGGGGCTTAACATGTCTGTGAGTGAATGTGGGCGCAGGACAGCGGGCACATTTACTGCACTGAAAAACACCGTCGGCCTGAGCTGACTGAGTGCGTGTTGGTTTCGTTTTCACAGAACCCGTGGGACATGTGGTGTGTAGTGTTTGTGGGCACTGAGACGTAGGCACATTCACTACATTTAGTGCACAATCGACATGAGGTGATTTTGTTTGTGCGAGCCCTGCATTTTTGCGGGCTGTGTTTGTGTGTAGAAATGAGCCCTGGGTTGTAGGCATTTTCAATACACTCATAACACCATCGGCTGTGGCCGGAATACCAGAAAATACACCATTTATGTGATTTATCTGGGTCGCCGTGGGAACAGCATTTGTGTGCAGGCAAGCGGGCATGGTACTGGCTTGCTTACTGCAAAATACACTGGAACAGTCACATTTTCTGGAACTGAACGAGCGAAAATTTCAGTGGAAGTCTGGCCACGGCGAGACTGAAACACCGTCGATTTCCTAGGAGGCTAGGAAGACTTGTGTTGGTTTCGTTTTACAGAAACCGTGGTAGTGTTTGTGGGCACTGGGTTGTGGGCACATTTACTACATTTAATGCACAATTGACATGCGTCGATTTCATTTGTGCGAGCCCTGTACCGTGGCGGGCTGTGTTTGTGTGTAGAAATGAACACTGGGCTGTGAGCATTTTATTACACTTATAACACCATCGGCTGTGGCCGGAAAACCAGAAATACAATGATTACATGATTTTTCTGGGTCGCCGTGGAAACGGCCTTTATGTGCAGGCAAGCGGGCCGTGGTACCAGCTTGTTTACTGCAAAATACACTGGAACAGTCGCATTTTCTGGAACTGAATGAGCGAAAAGTTTTTGGTGGAAGTCTGGCCGCGGCGAGACTAAATTTTTATCTGCTGCGAGAGCCGGGATCGAACACGGGTCTCTCGCGTGAAAGCTTCGGGTTCCGCCACTGGGCCACAGGGAGAACTACACTAGCGCAAGCAGATAAGAGAGCGTCATCACAGTTTTGTGTGTGTCGGCGTTTGTATGCAGGTGTGCGTGTTATACAACAGGCTCATTGCTGCAATAATGACATTTTCAGCCGCACAAACTAGGAGCTGAGAAATGTTTAAGAAATGGAGATTAGTCCGGCCTCGGCGGGGACTAAAAACACACTTTTTTCTCATTTGCCGGTGACGCACGCCCATGGGGGGCGGGGTAGATTTCTTATAACGTAAAGAAAGCTAGCCGCGGTTTTAGGGCTCGCGGTCTTGATGCTGGCCCGTTTCCTTGACGACTCGCGGACAGAAGGCGGAGGTCCACAGAGCTCGCCTGTTGCGCGGCGGTTGCGCGGGCGCTTCCCAATCGAGGCCGATGCTTTCCACGGCCTGAGAGAGCAGACGCATCAGCTCAGTCTCAATGCCGGCTCTCTTACCAGTGGTCTGGCGGGAAACGCTAGCGGAGGGGAGGTCCACGGAGCTCGCCCAATCCTCGCTATCGGATGCCAGAAGAGAACACGCCTCGGTGGGTTCGTCAAACTCGTGGATGGACGCGGTGGCAGGCGGCGGCCGTTGTCCGTCAGTGAGCGACTCGAGCGAAGCCGGCGAAGCTGGCGGGCGAACCGGCGAGCTTTGGCGGGCTGGAGAAAGCTCGGGAGCGCGCTGGGCGCGGCGCTTCTTGCGGCGCGGCACCACGGCGGGCTGCGGTGAAGGCTCGGAGAATGATGCCAGGCGAGTCCTCAGAGTCACCATAGGCAAAAGCTCGCAATGAGGGCATCCGCCGTCAGCGAGCGCGAGAGCCGCGTGATCCTCACCCAGGCAGGAAACACAGATGACGTGCCGGTCTCCATCGCTGAGCGGGGCGCGGCACGAGCCACAGGAAGGCATCTTTAAAAAGACGCAGCTCTTTTGTGAGAGAAGTGTGAGTCGCGTCAAGTAAGCGAGCAAACACTCTCAACAGAGTAAATACACACAGAGTATAAAAGGATATAGAACGCCGGAAAGCGCAGCAGGTACGGCAGTTGAAGGCGGCGAGGCCAGCGACTCCAGAGCTCGTCCCGCTGAAAGGCTTGCTTCGACGGCGCGGCTTCTCACTCCGGATCCAGCGATGCGTGTGCGTCGCTGAAGAGATAAAAATCAGCTTGTACCAGCCTAACGAGCATATTTATGGGGTGAGACCACGCCCCTTCTGGCGGGACGTGACGATATGGGCGCGAATTGCCCCCATTGGTCATTACGTCACGCAGAGTCTCTCTCGATAGGCTGCTGCATTTGCTGCAGAGCAACCAATAGGCGCGCGAGCTGTTTCGCCTATGTCTGCTTGCTGCTGCAAAGCGTTTTACATTAATAAAAAATTAAGGATAATTTTTGGCTTCAATATCTCGTGGAAAACAGTTTTTCCCCTAGCGTAAGCTATTACGCAGTACGAGAGATACTCTCGTAAGAGAACGTCTGCATGCTAGAAATAGAACCGACGCCTATTTTTCACGCGACACGCAAGCGTGTTGGAAGCGTTTTCAGGCAAAATAGAATTGGAAAAGATGTTTATATGCTATTTTGTACACGAATACATATTAATAAATTACATTTTGATGGTTGAAAGTCTAGGTTTTGACTAATTCAGATATAAATATAGGCCTAATTTAAAAATAAATAAATAGGCCTAATTATCAATTTTCAAATATTGCACCTGTCAATACAGAACGAAATATTCTGTAGTCTATTTTGCTGTCAATACTGCTGACAGTGTCTTTATCAGTAGGCTTTATATTTATGCTTAACATGAAGTATAGGGCTTCCACAACTCTCTCCCATATGTCGAACAAGGGTGATCTGTGTCAGCAGCGCAGCGTCAGACACGTTTCTAGTGTGCAAAGACACAAAAAATGTGACCCAGCCACCACGCAGCTGACACGGAACAGAAACGCCACGCTCACGCCACGCAGCCAGTGTGTCATGGGCCTAAATCTTCTAGTCTTCGAGTCTTTATTTTCTTTTATTTGCCTACTCAAGTTATTGTTAAAACTCACTAGACATGCTTATTCTGTGCATTTTGGGCACTTTTTGTGTGAAACCATATTTATTTTTGTCCATCGAAAGTGTGCTTTCACTTTAGTTGAGCGTGAGCAATGCAAAAACAGTTTCAACGCCGAAACCCCCGCTTCACTTCTGCTCACACGCCGCTCCTGCTCGACGCTCATGCGCTCCTCCTGCTCCCGGTGTGAATGCACTCATTGATTAACATGCACACCGAAAAAAATAAGCGCCGCTCACGCATGCGGTGTGAAATGGCCTTTAGATACACGCCATCGTGTACACATAAATCTCTGACCCATCATCGTCTTCCTCGTCTAATTTCTGTCGCTCTACATACGTCATCTGGTATAATTGAAACGATTGGCTATGAGCTACGTACAGGCGCATTTGATAGACATTCTTAGCACCCAATAAACGGCTCTGGGCATTCGTAAACCACGCCTCAAATATGAGAAAATGAACATGTGGTTCCCGACCCAAGTCTCAATGAGACTTGGGTCTGACGTTAGCCAGGCTACTAAGTACCAGTACTGTCATTGTTATTTTGTGCCTGTACTATGACCATACCATGGTTTGAATAAGGGATATGTACCAAGATAGTACTGTGGTACATTTATTTAATTTATTAATTTATTAATTCATAGTATATATATATACATACACTCACCTAAAGGATTATTAGGAACACCTGTTCAATTTCTCATTAATGCAATTATCTAATCAACCAATCACATGGCAGTTGCTTCAATGCATTTATGGGTGTGGTCCTGGCCAAGACAATCTCCTGAACTCCAAACTGAATGTCAGAATGGGAAAGAAAGGTGATTTAAGCAATTTTGAGCGTGGCATGGTTGTTGGTGCCAGACGGGCCGGTCTGAGTATTTCACAATCTGCTCAGTTACTGGGATTTTCACGCACAACCATTTCTAGGGTTTACAAAGAATGGTGTGAAAAGGGAAAAACATCCAGGATGCGGCAGTCCTGTGGGCGAAAATGCCTTGTTGATGCTAGAGGTCAGAGGAGAATGGGCCGACTGATTCAAGCTGATAGAAGAGCAACTTTGACTGAAATAACCACTCGTTACAACCGAGGTATGCAGCAAAGCATTTGTGAAGCCACAACACGCACAACCTTGAGGCGGATGGGCTACAACAGCAGAAGACCCCACCGGGTACCACTCATCTCCACTACAAATAGGAAAAAGAGGCTACAATTTGCAAGAGCTCACCAAAATTGGACAGTTGAAGACTGGAAAAATGTTGCCTGGTCTGATGAGTCTCGATTTCTGTTGAGGCATTCAGATGGTAGAGTCAGAATTTGGCGTAAACAGAATGAGAACATGGATCCATCATGCCTTGTTACCACTGTGCAGGCTGGTGGTGGTGGTGTATTGGTGTGGGGGATGTTTTCTTGGCACACTTTAGGCCCCGTAGTGCCAATTGGGCATCGTTTAAATGCCACGGCCTACCTGAGCATTGTTTCTGACCATGTCCATCCCTTTATGGCCACCATGTACCCATCCTCTGATGGCTACTTCCAGCAGGATAATGATAATAATAATCCTAATAATCCTTTAGGTGAGTGTATATTAAGGTAGTGTTGTTATCGTTAACTAAAACTATGAAATTCAATTAAAATAAATCTGAAATAAAATAATATAGAATAATAGTATTAATTATTAAAATGAAAATGTTAAAATGCTGCCTTGCCTTGGCAACTTACTGAAATAAGTACTTAAATTAACTGAAATAAAATAAATGAAAACTATGTCGAGAAAAACTAAAACTAATAAAAATGACAAAAGCGCATAACAAAATGGCAAAAAAATTTACTAAAATTATGAAAACTGAAAATATAAAAGTGAATAAAATTTTTTATAACAAACTATAATAATATATATAATACTAAAATAGCACTGTATCAAACTCATTTTACCATGACACAACCAAGTGATATTATACACACATTTTCTTTTCAATCAATTTTCTGTGTATGTAGAACACTGACCTGCAGACGAAGGTTGAGTACTTGGAAACGTGTGAATGTACAAAAAAACTCACACGAAAGTGCGTTTATGAAGGACGTCAGGTGGATGAGGGACATCGCTGGTCTCCTGACAGCCGCACCGTCTGTTCCTGCACCAATGGCCACATTCAGTGTAACCGTTTAAGTGGTGAGTAATCTAACATCCATTAAATCACCATTATGAATCAAAACACAAAATAATTCATAATAATTAGTTTAATCAGCAAGCCAATAATCAAACCATAGATCAGAGAAATTTACATGCAAACCACAAATTAACATAATGAACCACAAATAATGACTTCCTTCTCAGTTCGTTTATTCCTCAAGTAGAGTGGTTTTCCCTAAAGACCTGTAATAGAAAGTGAGGTGTGAGTGTTTTTGGTTTATGTGGGTTTGTAGCAGTATTAAGTAGTAAAACCTATTTGCACTGCTGGACCTTTGTAAAACTAATATACAGTACAAATATCAAATCAACATATTCTGTTTTGCTTTTATGGTCTGTTGTAGGACAGTTTTTGACATTTTCATTTTTGAAACTGACAGGTGTGATAATTTAGTGTATTTGTCTAAGCCTGTTTACTTATCACATGCTATGTGCAGATTTCTTTCCCCTCTCTCTTCCCCTCTTTCTTTATTTCTTTCCTGTTCTCGCTCTGTCAAATTGGATCGGAATGTTCAGACAGTGTGAACTAGTTTACAGAATCCAACAGCTTCATCTATATTCTCTTTCTCTTCCTTTTCTCTCCCTTGTTTACTGAAAGTGTGATCAGCCTTAAAGTTAATGGTAATATAATTTTTATAACACACATATTTATAAATACATTGTAAACTGCTGTGACTAATAGGCCTAATAATAATGATAATAATAATAATTGATATATATTTGATATATACGTATATCATTAATATTGTCATGATCACCAGTGGGAGTGCCCTGCATATCCACCTGAGGGCTCCCCAGACCATTGTCTTTGCCTGGACTCATCATGCCTGATTGTTTTCAGCTGTTGATCATTAGCTTGTTAATTCACACTATATAAGCCATCGCTGTTTCTCAATTCCAAGAACGCAAAGAACGGACTTGTGTTCTCGTTGAGACCGGTCTTGCCAGGCGACCTTGAAAGAACTAACTCGGAAGGACGCGAGAACACAGAACGCATCTTTATGAGAATTGAGATGTGCTGCGATCTTTCTGCTTGACCATTTCGGCAAATAGCGATTCATTCATCACAACCTATTAAACATTTCTTTCATATTATTATAGACATTGTTTTCATATAAGTTTATATTTTTTTTTTATTTTACCGTTTGTATTTTTGAGTAGCCTATGTGTGACCTATGCTTTGTCAATGTTAAGATTCTTTTTAATATGGCAATAAAAATACTGCCGCTTAAGGTCTTTATCACTTTATTAAAATGAAGCAAAAGAGACTCACAAATGTTAACTTTCACGAGCTGTCACGTATTTCGAGCTTGCAGCGGGAATCTCTTAAGTGAGAACGAGAAGCCTTCCGTACGTCGACTGCCCTCAGCGTCTTCTGGGATTTTTAACGGTTCGATTCTCTCAAGTCTGCATTCGATGCATCCTCGATATCAAGGACACATCCGGGCACTTCATGCGTCCTCTGTACTTGCGTTCTTGAGTATTGGAATTGAACTTCGACGGTTGATGATGACGTAGTACAAGAACTCAAGGACGCAAGATCACTGAAGAACTCATATTGAGAAACAGCCCATGTGTCACTCAGTCACTCTTTGCGAAGTCTTGTATGTTTAATGTTACACTGCAATTCTGAGCCCTTGTATCCTGGTTCCCCGTGTTATGGTTTTGATCTCTGCCCGTCCTTGGATTTCCCTGTTTGCCTGTGTTCTTGTGCCCTGTTACTGTTTGGATTATCCTTTCAATAAACTACTGCGTTCGAATCCTCAACCCATGTGTCTCAGAGCGGTACGTGCCAGAAGACTTCACCATGAATGGCAGAACGAACCAGGCTTATATAGGCAGGGACTGACATGGTAATGAGAACCACCTGAAGACAATCATGAATGAGAAGAACGGGCAGTGAGTTATGGGAAATGTAGTCCTTGACTGACTGGAAATAGTCTGGGATAGAGTGCCCTCTGGTATCAAGGGTTCTCCAGCTGGTGATCGTGACAAGTAAGATATTAAAAATATTAATAACAATACTTGTAATAATATTAATGTCTGTATGTGTGTGTGTGTGTATATATATATGTGTGTGTGTGTGTCCGTGTGTGTGCGTGATATTGATGATGCATTAATGGTAATGATATTAAAGCATATTTTGCTTTAATCAAAAGAAGAACATCTCACCATCTGTACAAAGGCATTACATAATCAATGTCACTAATATGCTTATTTGATTAATATAATATAGCATTTTTCTTTTCACTTTACGTCAATAAAGTCATGTCTGTGTTTTTCATTTTTCAGAATCCTTATTTCTGTTTATAAACATTTGGAAATTAGATTTTGAATTAAGGACTTTTCAACCCCCCTTTATATATCATTGAACTCATTGAACTGTTGTTAAAACTCATTTTCAGACATCAGATGTCTGGAGCAGTCTGTCATGAATACTTATAGACATCTTTTAGAGTTCATATTGCTGATAAGATTTGATCTTATGTGGGCAGGAAATATGTGGTTCATCTCACATGATTATCTCAGAAGGTTTCATAGGGGTTTCGTTCCAGCACAATAAACTGTGTGTATGTCTCTGATTGGTGATTGCAGAATGCAGCTTTCATGGCAATATCTATAATAACGGTGATGTCTTCAGCCCAGACGACTGCAACCGGTGTATGTGTGAGGTATGCAATCTATAAAATATTTAGTCTTTGACCTTCTTTTAGTCTTTTAGATATATTCTTTTGCTTCTCTCACACTGGCATCTCTTGTGTCATTGTGATATTGTGTGTGTGTGTGTGTGTGTGTGTGTGTATAGAATGGAAGAGTAGAATGCGAAGTGAATCCATGTCCACCACAGTCCTGTGAGGAGCCGTCTGTTCCTCAGAGACCATGCTGCCCTGCCCACCAAACAAGTACCTACATTGCATCTCTACATATAATACCCACACTGTACTTTCATATGTACCAATGAATGAGTGCTATCTTCATAAAATATTATATTAACATGGCTTTCCAAAAAGTACTTACAACTTGCATTTGCTTCATACATGTGTATTTGTTTTTTCTTCTTTAGAATGTAGGCATGAGGGTGAAATCCATGAGAACGGTGATGTGTTTGTGTCGAGATCCAACCCTTGCCACAAATGCATCTGCTCTGTGAGTCTACTGTGTGTGTGTGTGTGTGTGTGTATGCAAATACTTTGCATGAGTGTAAATGTTAAAAAAAGGTTCAATGGTAAAACTAAAATGGCAAAAGACATTTCAATGATTAAGTTTTGGAGATGCTCCTGCAATAAAAATGTTCAATGTATGTTAAGTTTTTCAGTTTTTAGCGGTTCAACATTTAATAAAATGATTCAAATTAAAGTTAAAAATATCAATGCTTATGCAAAACTATTCACAACATCTGATAAAATATCAAAATTGAGTGGAAAGAGTGTATATGCTGTAAATGTTCTTACTGGCGTCAAACAAGAGACTTTAAAAGTTTCTGTTTATAAAAAGTTTCTATAACCAAATGCTATTTTATAACCGCAAATGTTTCTTGAATTTTGTTATGCATGTTTCAGGGTAATTATATTTAACTAAAAGAAAAGCAATAAAAACAAAATTGTTATCTGAAATAAAAATAAATGCCAGCTGCCTAGGCAACATTTCTCATTTGCGTTTAGTTTAATTTGAAGTACAAAAATGAAATAAACTAAAACGAACTAAATGAATAAAAACTATATGTCAGGTGTGGGTGTTGTAGAGAATGCAGAACAGAATTAAGCCGAAGAATTAATGCGTTATGCAATATGCATGTTTATTTGCAGAACAGTGAGGTGTCATGTAATCCCATTGAGTGTCCGCCCACCCCGTGTCCCAACCCCTACATGAGACGTGGGGAGTGTTGCCCTACCTGCTCTGGTACACGCTCACAAGCACTTTTGAGCTCTTTATTTGAGCTCTATCATTTCTTTGTGACTCTAATGGTTCTGGAACCACTTACACAGAAATTTGCGTGCCTATTATGTCCTTTGCAGCATGTGATGTGGGCGGTCGGCCATACAACGACTCTTTCAGCACCATTGATGGCTGCCAGACCTGTACATGTCAGGTGCTTCTCTCTCACTTGTTACACGCATAACGTATTACATGTTAGTGGATGAAATGACCGTATTGTTTGCGTTAAACTGCGGTGTTTTGTATTTTGCTCATCAGGGTGGGAATCAGGCTTGTGTTGATGTGCAACAGTGTCCTCAGACGTGTCAAGATGGTGTGAAGCCACCGTTTGGCTCCTGCTGCAGAGATTGTTCCCGCTGTAACTTTGAGGGGCAAGTTGTCCTAGACGGCGTCTCTTTTCAAGCCAACCGTAACCCCTGCAAACACTGTGTGTGCAATGTAAGCCTTCTTGGTATTCATCAACCACATAGTTACAATTAGACATTAACATTAGGATATTGTAATTATTATTTTATATTATTATATTAAGTGCTTGTATTTGTGAACTATTTATTTAGAATTTAGTAGACATAACTTTTGGACTGTCTGATACGTTTTCCTGCTCTCTTTTACACTTTTTCTCTCTCACAGACTACTGTAAAAGTAATGTGCTTATTGATTTACATTATATATTCTTACTTATTATGAAAAGTAATATAGTTTTATAGTTGCATCCCACCACTTAATTAGTGTGACTTAAGGTTTTCTGTAAAATGTAGGCCTGTATGTAGGTTTGCAAAAAATAAGTTTAGCATTTTTCGGAAAATTAATGTAAAAATCAAACAAATTGAAACAAGCATTATGTTGTAAATCCAAAAAAGTAATGTTACTTTACTCATTACTTTCGCTAATTTTGTTATATTTAATGAAATTTGATTACATTACAAGTGATTATTATTTTTACTAGGTTTTTTTTACTTTAAGTTTTTCGTGTAATATTTATTTTTTATTTTATTTCAATCTTTTCAGTTAATAATATTTCATATATTTTGTTTTAGTTACCAATAACAGCACTGTACATAACACATTACTTGTTATGCATTACCCTTAATGTTGGCCAAAAAGATTACGTATTTCACTTCTAAACACATCTTGCATAGAGTATATTCTAAAATTCACTAAATATGTCCTCTACAATGGTGCTTTTGGTCATTTGCTGTGTATTTTTTAAATCAGCATTAATTAAAGAGGTTGTGTGTGTGTTTTTTCTTGTAGGCAGGGAATATAGAATGTGAAACTCTGTCGTGTCCTACAACTCCTTGTCTTTTGGTGGAGACTGTAGGTGGGCAGTGCTGTCCCAGGTGTCGAAGTAAGTGTGATTTGAGGTTTTTGTACATTTTTGTACATTTTAATGACATGCAACTTGCTCAGACATGCTCATACTCATTAAACAAGTATTTTGTTTGATATGAAGGTTGTGTCCAGAACAATGTGTGGCACCTGCACGGTTCTCAGTGGAACCATCCTGATGACCCCTGCACGACCTGTACATGCATGGTGGGGTATACCATATCTCATGGGCTATCAGTGTTTTAGTCTTTAAATGTAATCTCCCTCTCTCTCTCTCTCTGTAGGAGGGTCAGGCTCAGTGTGAGCGTGAACCCTGTCATGTCCCCTGTACAAACCCAGCCTCTGCTCCCCCCGGATCCTGCTGTCCTGTCTGTGACGGTGTGTCCAAACTTTTTAAAAATGACTTGTTACTATAGTTTTAAATCACTCTAAATCAGAACAGTTGAGAGCATGCAATCAAATTAATACATATTGCTTGTCTTATTGTGACTGATTCATTTGTTTACATTTTTCCTAGAAAAAGATGGTTGTTAGAATTGAACAATGCCATGATAGGTCTATTAACTACAAACATTTATTGACAGGGTATGGCTATATCGCTTCAGATAGAAGTGTCTATTAAGTGGCTACTTATACTTGAGTTTGATATATTTACATATATTTCTATACATACATATTTTTCTCACAGGTTGTAATGTGAATGGAAGGGACATCCAGAATAGGATGGATTTGCCGCCAGGACCCAGTTGTGAGGGCAGATGTACATGTGTGGTAAGTTGCATAAGAACTGAGTTGAATAAGAGATATTTTATTTTATTTTATTTTATTTTATTTTAAAATGTATACCTTGAATGCAGTGCAAATGACTTTGAATAAAAGCGCCAAATGTTGTAAATTGGTTTGGATGAAATGGTTTTCCAAAAAATAAAATAATAATAGCATTCTAGCAGAAGCTTCTTCTTTTTTTCAGAATGGAAATATTAATTGCGTTCAGCACCCCTGCCCATCGACTCCCTGTTATAATCCAGTGAAGAGACCAGAAGAATGTTGTGAACGGTATTAATAACGCTTTTTTCATAACAATTTTGGCTAAAGTAGTAAACGAGATGGGCATCTTAAAGTAAACACTTCTTATTAATCAATTGGTGTTCAGATGTGAGGAGTGCAGATATGAGGATATTGTATACACAGACGGTAAAACCTTCGTATCTAGAGAGGATCCGTGCTTGAAATGTCAATGCTTGGTGAGTTTTTTTCTGTGAGTGTGTGAGTGTGCCACTTCAGATAAAAGTGTTTACTAAATGTATGAATATTTGAATGTATTTGTATGTGAATGTGTCTATCTTATGATACAGGGTGGGCAAGTGTCATGTGAATCTACAATATCTTCATGTCCGCCTCCCAGTTGCACGCACCCAACAAATTCACATGGCCAGTGCTGCCCTACTTGTCACAGTAAAGAAGACAAACACAAACATCTCTTTCCTCCTCTCCTTCTGTAACATGCAACATAATATCAAAGTGGTCCTGGCTTCCAAACACATAAGTAAAAAATGTTTCTGTTTCAGTGTGTATATATGAAGGAAGGATTTACGAAGATGGACAAGAGTTCAGGCCTGCCGGTGGTGGTCCATGCGTTCAGTGTACATGCAAGGTGAAACACACACACACACACACACACACACACTGACACACACACACACACTGACACACACACACACACTGACACACACACACACACACACACACACACACACACACACACACTTAGAGTGAAAAGAGCTATTGTGAATCCAGCTTACACCAATGTTTATCTCTTTAATGAAATTATTGATGAAAATGTTTGATTTTGACAATGTTTTTTCAAAGTAATTAAAGACATAGCCTACTGTTGATAAAATGGTCTTTTTGTTAAATGTTGATACATGCTAAAATTATTATATAAAAAATATTTGGTTTACTGTAATCTTTTTGTGTCAAATAAAATGTTACTAATTTACTGTGATATTTGGCTAAAATTTATAAATATGATGAGACAATATTGAGTAAATTTAAAGAATATTTGTCAAAAGATAACAACTATGACTTAAACAAAAACGTTAAAAAAGTAAACACACACACACACACACACACACACACACACAAAGTATCATAAATGTACCATAGAAGTAGCCCATGTGACTCATGCACTATATTCCAAAATCATCTGAAGCCATATGATAGTTTTATGTGAGGAACAGGGCACAATTTAAGTTGTTATCTGCTTTGAATATCATTTGCATATGTTGCAAACAGCACACACATTAAATATCAAAAAACATCAAATATCATGCTAGGTTTGAAGGCATTGAAGCCATTGATTCTTGTGTGGGTTTTTTTTTTTTTTTTTTGTTAAAGGGGGGTAACGTGAGATGTCACCAGGAAAGATGCCCATCTTTGAATTGTGCAGTTGCCACTCCTGCTCCTCCTAACATCTGCTGCCCAGTGTGCAGAGGTACGACACTGACACAGACACTTGCACAAGGCACATTCTCACATACACTACCATTCAAAGGTTTGGGGTCAGAATGATATTATTTTTCAGCAAATCAGCAAATTAGAATGATTTTAGAAGGATCATGTGTCACTGAAGACTGGAGTAATGATGCTGAAAATTCAGCTTTTAGCATCACAGGAATAAATTACATTTGAAAATATATTCAAATAGAAAAGTTTTTTCAAATTGTAATAATATTTCATAATGTTACTGTTTTTTACTGTGTTTTTTATCAAATAAATGCAGCCATGGAGAGCATTAGATACTTCCTTTAAAACATAAAAAAATCGTACCAACTCCAAACTTTTGAAAGGTTACGTGTGTTAATTCTGTGTTTGTAGGATGTATGTGGAATGGCGTTCGGTATGAGGAAGGAGACACGTGGACTGACGCTGACCAAAGATGTTCTTGTGTGGGGGGGCAGGCTACATGTAGTCAAAACTGTGCCCCGACCCCCGGGCCCTGCCTAGAGCCCACCATACCAACAGGTAAGAGAGAGAAGAAAAGACAAGACAAAGAAAGGAAGAAAAGTGACATATTTAAAGGCCTACATAGTTGTCTACATAGGCCGCTACATTTTAAGGCAGCATACAAAGTAAAAGATAGAAAAAGTAAATGATTTGAATACAAATCTGACCCAAATATAGTTACAATAAATGCTGAATATATTTTGTAAACAGGGTGGCTTAAGGAAATATTTTTTTTTTTCAAATTTATCTTCAAATATTAAAATATACTACAACTAAAAGGTGAAAAAATATTATAATCTAATATACAGTATATATTTCTAAATATATTTTTATTGTCCTTGTATAATTTAAAAATAAATATTTTTCATTTCGTCAAAAATTGGAAAATTGGACATTTTTAAAAAATATATATATATTATATTAGCAATTTTTTTGGACCAATTTAGTATAATTTGAAATCTATTTAAGAATAAATCTGAAAATATATCTGCATATATTTTAAAATATATTTAGCATTAATTCAACATATTAAGATTAGAAATGTACATATGAGGAAATATAAGTAATTAAAAATGATATATATATAATTTATAATTTTTTATTATTTATTATTGTTATTAGCAATATTTTTGTATAATTAATATGTGTATCATTTGAAATACATTTTGAAATAAATGTGAAAACATCTGCATTTTAATTAGATTGAACTAATTTTCTCTGGACAATTCTTAATATTGAATAAAACGGGTATATCTAAAGTAGCATTTTGCTTAAATAAACTCAATACCATGCTTTCTGGGATATCCTGGGGCTGGTTGCATAAACAAAGCTATTATGTTAAGACAGTGTCTAAAGTTCTTGTATGACCCACTAGAAGTTAGTCAGGGGAAGTCAGTGTTACTTTTCGGTATTAAATTAGGCTAATCTACGTTTTTATGTAACTGATTTAAAAAAGCTTTGAACAGTCTCAAAGAAAAAAATGTGGTGTTTATAGTCTTAGCGTTTATGCAACCGGCCCCACCCCCTACTAATGTTTGTATAATAGCCATGCTGCTTTAAGCCCAATTTATACTTCTGCGTCGAACTCACGCCGTAGCTAAGTCGTAGGCTGTGTGTAGCGCGCGTATCCTTCGGCGTACCCTGACGTGCACCTCTCCAAAAATGTAACAACGCGTCAATTCTACGCGAACGCAAGCGCTGTGATTGGTCTGCTAGAACCGCTCCCCGGGTTTCACATGCTCCCTCTGCACGTGTAATTGCGCGTCAACCCGGACAACGACGCAGAAGTATAAATGAAAACCAACGCGTAGTCTATAGCATAGAGGCTCCGGCGTAGGTCCGACGCAGAAGTATAAATCAGCCTTAAGATTTACATAAGCTGTCTTATTTGCACAAGTTTGCAGTCTATGAAGATATTTTTGGTGCAAAACTACTGACGCCTGTGACAGTGAAATTTGTAGTTGTAGAGAAAAGCCACACATGTGTATCAGTAAATTTGAAGTCACAAGCCCCTTTCACACAGCGCATTGATCCCGGGAAATTGCCGGGAAATTGCCAGAACGCCTTCTGTGTGAACGCAAACACGACCCGGGATTGATGCCGGGTTGGGGACCTAGTAACATTGCCGAGATCAGTCCCGGAACGGGCGCTGTGTGAACAAAAGCCGTAACCAATGCCGTGTCGTAATGATGACGCTGAAGTGAAGTGAAAGCAGGCTAGTGAAACGGTATGTAATGCGCTAGTTTATGATCGAATCAGAGAAAAAAATGCACAAGCGTGGTTTCTCCAGAGAGAAATCGCAGCTCATAAGCAAACCATACACGCTGCTGAGACATTACATGTCACATCGATGTCACGTGTCTTTACGGGAATTTTACGGGTTGTGTGTGAACGCACTCTCTGATTCCGGAAAATCACTGGCAGTGTGAATGAACCAAAATCAAACGAACCCGGGTCAAATACCGGGTCGCTTTATCCGTGTATTTTCCGGAATCTCTGTATGAAAGGGGCACAGAGAGAAATGTTTTAAGAGTTGCAAACTTGTAGACTTTTTTTATCTTCCACAAACACAACACAACAGTTACACCTTCTCAAATTCTACATTGCAGGTGCACAAATCCTATTCTACAAATCACAAATGAAGCTCACATTTTTGCTACAGTTGCTGCAGTGAATATGGTGCAAAACGCATTTACACACCTGCATCAAAAAATGTGAAGTCACGGAGAGATTTTGCTCATCTGCAAATCAGTATGTGAATTCATCCAATGAGAGTTGCACACTTGTAGAATATTTTCTCACAAATGTCTTGTATATTTTTCTAGCACAAACACTACAGCAACAAGAACTACAGCTGCTTGAATCTGCTGCGACTCTCAAACACTGTTTTTCGCTTTCAAGTGACAAGTTTCGCGCGCTCTCCCTTTTGCACCAAGTGCACCGTGAAATGTGGTGCAAAAGTGAGTTGTGCATCTGTAGAGGCAGTGGGCGGAGCCTACATTAATATTCATGAGTTTCCCGGGCATGCGCTGGAACTGCTCATTCTAGTTCACGCTCCTCGTTTCTCAGCAGGTTTAATGGATTATTTCAAAAAAGGTAAAAATTGTTTCAGCACGAACTTAAACTACAATTGTGTATCGTTTCGTTAAGTTCATAATGTTTTTATTAATTCGTCACTGACTGAATGATTTCTGGCATTATATTCCGTAAAATAATGTTAAAGTCGGCATGAAATCAAATTTGACAAATCTTCTTTTTATATGTGATATTGTAGCCTAGTGTTTATTATAAATGATTTATCTGTGCACTTCATTATTTTTTTTAAATTCATGTACCCTTATAATCTTTAATCAAATACATTACCCTTCCCTCCCCCCTCGAAACGACCTCTCTTCTCTTTCGGTCACGTGCAATGGCGAAAGGGTGCGGCCAGAGCCGATGAGGGTGCGGCTATCGGTGCAACGCCTCTCAGAGAAGATACATTCAAATCTGCCTCCATTTTGTTTGTAACGCACAACCTCCAACGATCCAATCAATTCCCGAAGGACGAAATCAAGCCCCGCCCTACATTTTTTTCTAATTTCAGAAGCCGTTTCACTCGGATATACGTCACAACAAGGAAAAAATGACAATCTCAACTTCCGTTTCATGCCGACTTTAAGTGTTTTTTGTTTCTCATTTACAGTAAACTTGTTGTATCAAATGTAATTAATCCACTTTTGTCCATACAATTTCGTCCAAATTGTATGTATGTATTAAAGCAACACATTCATGTTTGTGTTTGGTCTTAAATGAGTTGGCTTAAAGGGGTCATATAATGCCATTTTTGTACAAGCTAATATGATTCTTTAGGGTCTAAATTAAAAGTTTGTAATATACTTTAATTAAAAATTCTCATTAGTATTGTAAGAAAACACTTATTTTACCTGGTCAAAAACAGCTCTGTTTTCAGCACGCCGTTTCAGTGCATATGCCTTTAAATGATCATGAGCTTTGCTCACTCCGCCCCTCTGTTCTGTGCGTACACGTTTATAACACAATAACCATAACGCGTTGTTCAGTATAAACGTGGAATTATGAATTATATTGAGAACGTCATACATAGAAAACATGCCGTAATGTACCCTGAGTGTAAACCTTAGACGCATTCATCGTGAAGCGTGCAGCTAGCGATTTGCAAAGATATAAATATTAATATAAAGTTTAATAAAACGTTACACTCACTTCAGTTGTTCTAGAGGTTCAGCAGGAACACGAATATCTGGTACCGATTCTTTTTTCATGAGCAGCTTCTTAGCAAAACCAGCTTTATACTGATCCTCGTTTATAAAGCAGTCTGGTGTGTGAAATGATTTGCGCAAACATGAAAGCATTGACGTTGCTCGTGGGGAATATTCCCTTCGAAAACAAACTCATCCACTGCGTCTTCAGCTGTTCGGATTTAGGAACATTAAAATGACTGCTGTGTTCGTTATTACACCCAAGAACAGAACACCACAATCGCTTAGACGCCATTCTGCTCATAGACAGTGCTCCAGCATATCAACAATGACCGCGCCGGTCCGCGCAGACTATGATTGACAGCTCGCTCACGAGCGAGGGTGGGTCTGTGTTGAAACGCTGCTGTCATTCAACAATCGCGGGAGGGGCGTCCGACCGTGTGACATCACACGGTTGAACGGCTCGATTTGAGGCAGGGGGAAACATATAAGGAGATTAAAACAAAAACACTGGATGGATTTTTATCATATTATGATGTTTGTGTACAGGCACTGCCAACACACATTTCAGTACAATCAACTTGAAAAAGTGAATGTACCATTATAGGACCCCTTTAAACTAACAAGAATTTAAGAACAATGAATCACACCATATATATAGGGCTGTAACGATACGCGATATAAAACCGAAATCGCGATACTCAGATCCACGAACCTGTGTCGCGGTGTGAGAAGGCAGAATCGCGACACCCCCCTTCAGGGGCGGATCTACAGGGGGGCATGTGCCCCCCCACTCTAGAGCCTTGCCCCCCCCAGCTGCCCCCCTAACTTTGATGATCCAAAAACTGTAGGCTACTTGTAAAAACAACCCGCAAGCTTCTCAAAACAGTGAACTAAACGACACATTTACCAAAACTGAACCATTTAATTTTTATTAAAGCCCCTCCCCCCTGCCCCTCAAATACTTAGTACGTCCCTGATTCAAACGTGCAGAGCGGCGTTCGCTCAGTCTGGCCCACTCACGCACAGCGAGTCTGCTGCTGTGCGCTGGCCCTGCAAACCGACTGGAGAGACTGAGCTGCCCCAGAGCCTCTGAAGGTGAAGTGAGTTTCCCCAGGTGTTCCCCAGTCATTACGTTCCTGTGTATATTGCGTGAATGACGGGTGGTTGGGCAGATATTGTGTTTTTGCGGTAGGTGGTATGCCATACGGAACCGTTGCCACTGAAACTGCATTAACGCACCAGTGGGGCTCGACAGCCTTAGTCAAACGGGTTGGCGCGTATGGTTGGGTTGTGGAG